GAGGTTCCTTACCGAACAATACCAACTGATGCCTGATTGATGCCTTGCTGATATCATATGGCGAAAAGCAGCGTATTTACTCTGCTATTACTGCTTTTGAAACCGCACAATCGCTTAGTATACTCTATAAGGTATTTACGGTCGTATATAGGATCCTAGATAGCACACTTTTGCAAGAATCAGAGACCTCAACCATATACGCTTGATACGTACTTTCAACCCTGACTAAGCCACATTTCCGACAAACAGGAATGGCAGGAGGTCACTAAAAAGCAGAAGAACCGAGAAATTCAAGCAGTTGCTGTAGGTAGCCAGCCTGATCCAATCAAGCCTAAGCCAGCCAAGGACAACCCCAAGGAGGCACGGAGACTACTATTTCGCCGTGAGGGAGACAAGGCTGCCCCAAGATCAGAGAAAGAGACGTCATTCTGGCTACCAACCGAGCATTAGCAAATGAAGGCTTCCAAGCGTTCATCTAGGTGATGGATGCAGGATATACCAACACCAGAGCGGTCACGATTCTCCTGGAGAAAGACACCCTGGGCTCTATGCTACTATCCGACTATAAAGAGACATTGGTCACTACGGCTCGATAGGTAGACCTAGAAGTGGTATCTGTTGAGCTACTAGAACAATGGTATCGTGTTAAGGTCCATGGGGTCCCAATCAGACGTTACCTTATCTGTGGCCTGGCTCTGGCTCGCAAGGAGATAGAACTGGGCACTGGATACCAGCTGAAGAGGAATCCAACATGGCTCTGGATTTCAAAGGAATTGCATAACAGCAACCAGAAGAGTTCTACTATCGTTATTACAGTTGGGTCACTAGAGGAGGTCCGGAGGCTCCTCATCAATGGTATTCGATTTGAGGATCCAGGTAAAGGATAGAACAGTACTGGGAAACACGAGTGGACACAGTCTGCCCTTGGTGCTGCCAGCTAGGTCATCGCAGCTTCAACGCCTGTGGGAACCGGCCACCATGCTGTTTTATATACGCGGGGCCCTATGAAGGCACTGAACATGCCTGCTGGGTATTAAACTGCCCTACCAAACCAGGAACTGTCTGCCAACACATTCCAGCAAAGTGTGACACTTGTGGCGGCTCATACCCAGCAACAGCAGGGAATTGCCCTGCTAAACAATCAGCAAGGAAGATGATGAGATCTGTAAGGTCGGATCAAAAGGATAACGTTAGTCCGACTAGCGAACCTCCGATATATGGCCAGCGTTCGCCACATATAGATAGACAAGCACTCAACAAGCACTCATCAAGCACTCATCAAGCACTCATCAAGCACTCAAGCACCCGTGTACTCTAGGATACATTAGATAGAGTATATCAATCGTTTGTTTTAATTGGGTCTTCTACATATAGGCCTCGTGCAGTCGGATGATCGACTCCTCCGGTTTCCCCTGAACCTCCGACGGAACCCATTTCAGAAGAAACCGAGGAAGAGGACTACAGAGTCTAAGAACAAAGGACGACCATCCAATTTTTAAGGCATCATGGCATCTCAATCATCACTCATCGTTGATAAGGTCCTCGAGCATGAGTGAGTGAAGCATACTGGTCGGGAGACCGCACCACTGGCAGCAGCTCCAACACGATTATTATGACGAATAAGAGGCGGCGCAATGAGGGGAACAGACGGAGGATCAATAGCAAAAATGCCTCACCAGAATCATGCGGGCAGCACCAGAACAAAGTGAAAGGAAGACAGCAGGAATTGGGTTGAATTTGAAGCAGCGATGGAGTGCATCTTTATAGAGCACGCACGGCGGTGCCAGGCGGCAATGGAACACTAATCCCAAATAGGAACGCCATACCGCTTCTAGTAATTCGCCATCACCTAAGAGTACGAAGTAGTTGATAGCACACGCGTGGTCACATAGCACAACATCACTCAAAACTACTCCTAGAGAAACGTAGCCAAACCCTGCAGCGTTAAATTGCCCCCAGCCAGGGCACGGGAGTAGAGGGCCTCTATATTTTCATCCCTACCTAATCCAGTATATCCGACACGCAACCTACATCTGACAGTCCCTAGGATATGTAAATCCGACATGATGTGGAGAGTCCTCCGCAAAAAAAGATCGCCAATAACAAAAGCAAAAACAATTCATCATGCTGTTGGCTGCGATACATAACCATGGTTCTTTTCTCTAATCGTCTTCCGAGGTTATCTCGGCGTCGTGGGGAAATCCACATCCGAAACGCGACTTCACCCCGTAACACCATCTAATCTTATACAAGAACATTGAAATGGCGGCGAATACATTACAGTGCGATGTCTGTCTCGCGCAGTTTAGTCGGCCAGATCACCTCCGGCGGCATTCCGCGTCGCGTATGGATTGCACCTCACGCTTCGAATTCATTGGGTTAACGCCACGCAGATAAAGATCAAAGACCGTATGAATGCGATGGCTGCAAACGCTCATTTAAACGAAGGTATGCACATCCCACCTACAGACCGGACCGGGTTATAACGGATACAGCGATGCTCTCAAACGACACGAAAGAACCTGTAAAACCCTCTTCACCAGCCCCGACGATACCCTCGAAAACGACAATAGACCACAAAAACGAATCTGTCATGTTACTCAGCCAGACGCAAATGGCCACCCCGATGGTTTGTCTCCAGACATATCCGGCTTGATCAACCAACCTATCCAAACACCGGGAAATGAATTTCTCGCAAGTATGCCGTCGGGGCTTGATTTTACTGCGTTGGACTGGTTATATCCACCATCCCTCGAACCAGATATTACTCTCGCAGAACGACTGGAGTATCTCGCATATTTCACCTCGGCACGAGGCATGGCGACGTTTCTTGATCGGGAGACTTTACGACGGAAACAAGATATGATATCACAATACTACAACACACTAACGAGCATAATCAATGAGGACTGTGGTCAAGACGATGGCCTCCTCTCCAAATCTGCCGAGATAATCAACCATCTAAAATCTACAGTGACAACCGACCCATCCACAATCGTCACGGCATCTATTCCCTCCTGGACATCAGAAACGCACCGCGCAGCCACAGAATTCTTCTCCCCTACTAGCATTCGTCGTTTTCTGATATTTTTCTGGGCCCTATGGTACCCAACCTGTCCTTTCGTGCATAATCCATTCTTCGACCCCGCGAATGCCTCGCCAGCATTACTAGCCGTTATGGTGATCATCGGTGCATGTATGTCTCCAGACGAAGAGGATGGAAAACGAGCGAGGAAATGGATGGATCTAGTGGAGGTAATCACGTTCCGACAGGAGTGGTTTACTGATGCAGAGCAAGCACCTAAACCCAGCTATGGGAAATGGAAGAAGAGATTGGAGTGTATTCAAACGGCGTATTTGGTGTGCTCGTTACAGAAGCGCGAGGGCTCAGTTGAGGCGCAGGGGAGGGTGAGACGGTATAGACATGCTATGATGGTTTCGGTATGACAACAGCCAGCTACACCTACTCTACCCTGCAAACCTGTACTAATTATGCAGCTCGCAAGAGAAATCGGATTATCAACGGCAACGCACCCCCGAACCCTCCCAGCACGCGCATCCGACGAATGGTGGAGACAGTTCGCAGCTGAAGAGGAGATGGTCAGAACCTTGATATACGTCTTCCTCTTCGACGCCGCCCTAACAATCTTCCACAATTCTCCCCCGCGCATGGTCGTCTCCGAGCTCCGAATGGACATGGCTTGCCCGGAGGCCTGTTTCCAGGCTGAGTCTGCTGAGGAGTGTTTATCTGAACTTGAAAAATGGTCAGGTAGCGTCTTCTGGCGCGAGAGGTTATCGGTGGCTTCTGTTGTGCGGAGGATGTGTCAACCTCAACCCCAGACTGAAGCCCAGGCATCAGAAACCCTAGAACCAGCCCCAGGCTTCTCACGAATGGGAACGCTAAACCTCTTCACCACCGTTCAATGTAAACCTCCTCTCTTCCACCCATAAGCTCTATTATTAACGATACGTAGGCCTCCACTCCCTAACCTTTCACCTCCAAAACTCCCTCATAACAATCCCCTCGCCTTTAACACCGCTCCAAACCGGTCTTGAAAGCTGGCGCCTCACATGGAACAAGCGAATACCAGAAGATTCGCATATCCCGCATCGACCAGATACATTGTGGAAACAGATTGGGTTTGCGAGGTATGCGCCGGAGTTTTGGCAGTTGGCACGGATATTGGTCATGAGGCTGGCTTCAGGGGATTTGGGGGAGGCGGAGTGGGGAGAGTTGCGGTTGGGGGTACATGGGAACGAGGACATGGGGGGAAGGGCAGGGGAGAGGTATGATCATACGGACATGGAGGATGTTAATGGGTTGATTGAGGAGTATAGGAGGATGAGCTTGGGGGTTTGTATGTGGTTTCCATCGAATGGTATATAATACATTTCATTGTTTAATACTATTGCGACGCTTCACCCTAACATCGAAATTCACGGGTTTCACGAACCAGAAGTTCTCCGTCTCCCATTCTCGTTCCGGATTGACGAGCTCGAAATCAAAGTCCCGAACCAGACGAGGAATTAATTTCGACATCTCAAGGATGGAAATGTGTTTCCCCAGACATGTTCGTGATCCAAGGCCGAACTGTCTCGTTAGCTTCCGCTATTTTAGTTCCTTTTAAGGGCGGACACTCACAGGCATATACATGTCATTCATAACCTTCAATCTCTCTGGATAATTCTCCGCCTCAATCCATCTATCAGGCCTAAAAGTCTTCGCATCAGGGAAAATATCCTCATTATAATGCGCAACCCAAGTGTTAATCCCAACGACCATTCCAGCAGGGAAGAATCTTCCACTAATTTCCGCACCACCAGCAGGAACTTCTCTCCACAATGGCAGACCAGTTGCACTGTGCATGCGGAGGGCTTCTTTCACGACTGCTTGGAAGTACGGCATCTCCTGGCTTTCCTTGAAAGTGGCTTTCTCGCTGCAGCGTCCCTGCTCGGTAAACGAGTCGATTTCCTTGCGTAATTTGTCCAGTACACCTGGTCTCCGAAGACAATGGTACAATATCGCACTAAGACTAATCGCTGTTGTATCCGACCCCGCGATAACATTCGACTGGCCCATCATAAACAAATGATAATCAGTGACCTTTTGTGGATCCTTGTCCCTCGCCAGAACCATTTTTTCAAGGAAATCCTGCGTCTTCGTTTGCATTCTGAGACCAGCTTCGGGGTCTGCTTTCAAATCGTTATGCCGCGCGATCTTCCCCTGTACATATTGCATGATATACGCCCGTCCACCGGCCCCAGACCAGCTGAAGCGGCTTAGCGGGCCGAAAAGCCGAGGATGCCATTGTGGGTATATGCCGACGAGAGTGCTGTACATCATTAGTTTCTGGAGGGCGGCCATGGCGCCCTCGATGTCTTTGCCTTCGCTTAGGAAGCCTGCGCTGTTAGCTACTTATAATAGGGGAAGTAGAAGAGGGGAAAGATACCAAACCGTCCACCGAACGTAATACTCGAAATAACATCAAACGCATAACACTGGAACCAATGCCCCATATTCAACTCCTGCCTCTTATCCGCATGTTCCTCAAGCCGTCGTGAAAATATATCCGCACAGTCATCCACAAACGCCTCGTAATGTACCAACGAACTCATCGAGTATAAGCTCGAGAATCGTTTACGCGTTTCAGCTTCGTCATTCAGCCCACCCAACCAGTCCAATTCAAGACAGGAAAGCTTACCATGCCGTCTCACGTCCCTATCCGGAAACAAAGTCCACCTCTCCGGACTCGGATGTTTCCATCCCTCGTACCAAGCAGACTTAGTGAACTTACTCCCCGTTCCGTATATGGTCTTCACGGCTGCTGGATCGGCGATGCTGTAATGGTCTGGTGAAATGCGCACGATGGGGCCGTATCTCTGGTGTAAGTTGATGTTGTCGGTTTCGAAGTGAGCGGAGCGCACGCGGTTGAAGTACCAGAGCTTCGTGAAGCGAGTCCAGAATGGGCCGGGGAGGGTTAGGAGGGGGGAGGTTAGGGATTTATAGAGGATGTGGAGAAGGTAGAGGAGGGGTGGCAGGAGGAGGAAAGTATGCATTGTGTGGCTTGAGTGGAATTGGATGGGATAAGGATGATTGTTGATGGTCAGAGAATGAGAGGTGAGATGGTTTATATACCCGTCACTCGCTGGCTCAATGCTATGCCCATGGACAAGTGTGGAGGTATAGATCTCCGCCTCCACCCCCACCTCCACACTTTATTTCCTGCTGTTATACAGAGCAATTGCCCTACGACAATGATATAAAGGATTACATTTAGAGAGATATTTCCGAGAAGTTCATTGAAGCATTTTAACGGAAAGCGAACCTGCGTACATAACTCATTACTGGCATAGAGCCGAGAATAACACTGATACATCGAGTGAAGAGCTCAGCAAACAAAACATAACCATAACAATAGCCATCCTCAAACTTCCAACCCAGAATAAAGATCACTTCCTATCGCCCCAAAGCCCAACAATCCCCATCGCCAACGCAGCCCCCGAAAACACTCCTCTCACCAAATGGGCAACTCTCTCCTCCTCCATCTCCTCCTGTACCCTCTCTCCATTAACACCACCCTCTTCTGCCTCCACAACAACAATATCCTCCTCCTTCTTCCCTGGCACACCCTTTCCAAGCAGAGACGCACAGTAACTCTCCTGCCAAATACTAACCACCCAGTTCTGAACCCCGGACTGTCTGTTAAACCAGTAGTCGATGCCGTACGAGCCCAGAGCCGAGGCCAGACACATCCACACGAGGTAGGGGTGTTTGCGGTGGCGCGGGGAGACGAGATAGGCCAGGAGCAGGGTCGTGTTGGCGACGTTGGTGAGACGGAAGGAGTGCTTGCGGGAGAGGCGTTTGGCTTCGGTGAGGGAGCGCGCCGCAGAGGTAGAAGTGGGGAGGAGTTTTAGAGAGGGAATGGTTACGGTTGTGGTTGTGTAGGAAAGGCCCTGTCAGTTGTTAGTATGGACGAATTGGGTTTAGGATGGATGGATGGACGGAGGGGCTCACAGTCAACAGGCCTAGGGAAACCGTTCCCACGAACTTGGAGACGGTGATGGGACACGGCATGATGGTGAACTGGCTTGCCACGCCGAAGCTCTTTGAATACAGGTATGGACGGTTGGACAATGTAGAGTCAACTGTACAGAGAACGGAGTAGAAGGGAAAAAATGGGACAGCCGGAAGTGACGTCGGAATTAGTTGATTATCCGGCCAATGGAAGACGCCCGATTCCAAGCAAACAATTGGGTTGCGGTATATATTGGGTAGCAAATATGATCGTTCTAGATCTATACAGACACCAGCCAAGCTCAATATGAAGATGTTTTTGGGTATGATCGTGGGATTTTCATGCCTGAGTCATAAGGCTTACACGCATGCATAATGTGATTACTGATCTGTGCATAAATTACGGATGCATGTACAAGGTCGTACCGACAGCCGCGGCTTTTTCCCCCTTTGGCAGTGGAGAAGGCGTCACCAGGGGACTCGACTCCAGACAGATAACTCCATATTCCCTCCTTCAATCCATTCTCTATAGTATAATAATTCATTCGTACTGCAAAATGTCCTCCAAACTTGACTATATCAGCGACACCTGGAAGGACGGCCTCTTCGGTATTCGTCCCATCCCATTCTGAAACCATAATTAAACTAACCGATACAAGCAAACAAGGTCGTCTTCTGCACCGGCGGCGCAGGAACAATCTGCAGCGCCCAGGTGCGCGCTCTCGTCCACCTAGGTGCAGATGCATGCATTGTCGGACGAAACGTGGAGAAGACAGAACGTGTTGCCAAGGACATCGCCACTGTTCGGCCCGGTGCGAAGGTGATCGGTATTGGGGCTGTGGATGTGCGGAAACTCGAGAGCTTGAATGATGCTGTTGCGCGGTGTGTGGAGGCGTTTGGGGGGATTGATTTTGTGATGTGCGTGCGCTCCATGAATTAGGGGGGTTGTTGATACTAACATGTGTTCAGTGCCGGTGCCGCGGGCAACTTCCTTGCTTCGATTAACCAGCTTTCTGCCAATGCTTTCAAGTCTGTAATTGATATCGATATCTTGGGGTCTTACAATACCCTCAAAGCTACGCTCCCGTATCTGGTCGAATCTGCCAAGAAGCACAGGGTCGACTCGAACACTCGTATGTCACCACCCCCAATCAACTTAATGCCATATTAACAAGCAACAGTCAAGCCATCCCCCGCCGGCACAGGCGGCCGAATCATCTTCGTCAGCGCGACTATCCACTACAGAACTATGCCCTTCCAGACGCATGTTTCCGTGGCCAAGGCAGGAATCGATGCTTTGTCGCACAGCGTTGCTATTGAATTTGGTCCCTTGGGTGTTACTTCTAATATCATTGCACCTGGACCGATTGCTGCGACTGAGGGAATGGATCGTCTTCTCCCCTCTGACGCGAAGAAAGCGTACATCAAGTCCCAGCCGCTGGGAAGAATCGGGTCTGTCCGCGATATTGCGGATGCAACTGTGTACGTCTTCGCGGATACCGGGAGCTATGTTAGTGGACAGGTGTTAGTTGGTATGCATCCACCCATGGTCAAACAAACGATTGCAAGAGAACAGAACTAACGATATTCAGTCGACGGCGCGGCCTGGCGTATGTCCGCTGGCGGTGGCTCGTTCGGAAAGCTCGAGTATCCTGATTTCCTACTTTCCGGGGATGCAGTTCCGAATGTGAAGGGGGCAAAGGAGTCGAAATTGTAAGGGTGACTATATGCTGATGGTTCAGAGGCGTTTTGTTTTTGTTTTTGTGTTTGTATGTGTGTATGCATTCGATAATAAATGGGCTTCTTTGTTGTCTCGAGGTAGGGTAGGACTTTCAAAGATATGAACAGATTCTCCCGTTATTTATCCCGAATATCATTGTGAACAGCCCTCGAACAAAAATTGCACAATGACACATGTTTTTGGCAAAACAATGCATTGTACACTCATTCTCTTTTATTGGATATATCTTCAAAGGGATCCCCAAGACAACCAACAAAGCCTTGTCTTCGAGTCCCCAGGGCACGCCCCTTTGATATCTAATGTATAGCCATTGCTCGCTTACCCTCAAAGGATAAGTCTGTAGCAAACTCAAGATAACTACGAGACGAATGTCCCGTTGCTTATGAACCATTATATAGATCCATTGTTCGCCTATGTTGAAAGAAATCAATTTTAAGGATGATTCCGTAGGAAAGCTAAGACAACTACGAGACGAGCATCACGTTGTCTGCACAGGAGAGAATAAAAAGATGCTGTCCCAGTTCATTTTTCTGTAACCATCATCAACCATCTTGGTACACAATACAAGATCATTACGAATTTATATACTACACTTATACTTATACTTACTGAAAACAAACCTAAAATAATTTCACAATGTCCATGTCCAGATCCATGTCCAACAACGACGATTTCTCGCGCCACAACATCCCCGGCTTCATGGAAGACGACACGCATATCATCGAGGCAGATGATGACTCGGATGGTGACGAGGTAGTGGACATAGAAGACATGTCGGGCATCGACAACTACGTCGACGAGGATTGCACCGTGTCGGATGAGGAGTCTGAGCCTGAGGATCTCGCAGGGATGCACGGCAACGGCGACAGCAAATTACAGAGTGAAGTGAACCGCCTCCGGAAAGAGCTTGCAAGAGCTAATGACGAAAACGAGAAGAAGGATGGCAAATTGGTAAAGCTTGAGTGGAGCAAGGGTGAGCTAGTAAAGGATACTAACCGGTTAAATGAGCAGATGAATGAGTTGAAGGAGAAATTGACGACGACAGAAGTTGGCTCTTTGAACAAGAATCTGTCAGGTAGCATGTATGGTGTCAAGGATGGTGGCTACAATCCTCTTCAGGATAGGGTGAATCATCTCAGCCAGGAACTGAGTGAAGAAAAAGAAGCGAATGAAGAGAAGACTGGGATGATTGCGAAGCTCGAATGTGACCTCAAATTGGCTCAGGGACGGTTTGCGGAAGATACCGACCGGATGACCGGGGAAATTGAGCATCTTGAGCACGCACTAGCGCAGGAGCAAGAAAACGTAAAGGACTTCAAAGCTCATATCATGGATCTTCAACGCCACAAGTCAGACATGGAGGAAGACCTCAAAGCGGCAGGGGAGCAGCGTGCGAGCGATGTGGAAGAAAACGAGAATTTGCGCACGCAGCTCAAGTCCTGCAATGAGAAATCGAAATGTATGCGGCAGCGTAATGGGGAGATGGAGAAAGAGATGCGAGCAATGGTTGATGACTTTCAGAAAGTTCTGGCGAAGGCTAACAGTGACAAATATGAGTATAAGAAAAAGTACGAGTCGTCCCAGGGTCAACTGGGGGAGATGGCCAGTGCGTTGGAGAATTGCGAGAATGCATACTTACAGCAAAAAGAACAGCTCTTCAGGTCGAACCATTCGCTTCAGCAGGTCCGATATGAGGCCAATTATACGCAGTTCGACTCTGGCTTTAATGGCAATGACAGCAGGTCTCCCAGCAGAAATGATAATCAGCCGCAATCTACGCGGCTGGATGCAGAACTCGAAGATGAACTGGAGAGTGAAACAGAAGGTTTTTATTTCATCCGAGACGAGGGAATTTCCGATAAGACTGATGTTTCTCAACGGGGCGACCATGCTGATTCTTGGTTAAACCCGAACAAGTCCCGTTCCCCTGGTCGCGCACGAAGTACAAACTTTGATGGAAGCATGTCTGATTCAGAAGATGGGTGGATAGGCACTTCAGACAATAACGACGACGGTGATTTTGTTGAACTAAGCCCCGGCGTGGACATGGATTTGAATGGTAAGTCCGCTATCGAAGTGGTACACGATGAAGCACCAACTTCAGATGGAAACAAGCCAGAGAGTGAAGATGAGTACTATGAAGACGTAGAGAGCAACCACACAAGCAGACTACTCGCAAACAGCATACACAAGCACGAGGAAGCTCTAGTCAATCATCCGAGACAGCCCTTTGGGATTCCGTCGACCTCGAGACGGTTTTGGGCAGACGAAGACACAGCCCAGTATGCGCCACAATTTGATCATAGCGCATATCAGAAGCGAGAAACGTTTGAACAAGGGACTCAGACGGAAGACATCCCTCGAACCCCCGACCGGGGTTTCAATGAAGAGGATCGAGAGCGGCTTATCAGCACCCTGCACCCTCTACTTTACCTGCTTTACATGCTGACGATACTATTGGGTGGTATGATAAACAGGCTGATACGCCTCGAGGTAACCCTCAAAAAGCAGTTCAATCTTCCAACCGATGTTGAATATATCAAGACAAGCTCGAGGGATCAGATCCATGGGGCCATGGACACATCTCCAAGCCAGCAGGATGATACGGCGCAGCACCAGTCGGAAGTAACCATGACCACGTCCGTCCGAAAAGCCGAGGGACATCTTAAACACCTAGTGCGATATGTACTCCTGTGGAGCTGCGTTCTCGGAGTTTTGATGGTAAGGCTGGTGTATGTGTGGTGGAGTGATGACGAGTGGCAGTGGACAGCAGCTAACAAGACCCCACGCTGTGTTCCTATTGAGTTGCTTAGAGGCCACAGCAATGAGCATGACTGGGTGCAGGTATGGAACTTTCAAGTGGTGAAAATTTTGAATGACCGCGTGGCAGGCTAGCCTTATAGGTTAGTGTCCGGATGCATTTTTAGAACCGGCGACTAAGCCACTTGATAGATCGTGAGCATGCTAAAAACGTCAAGTAGGGTATTAAGTATAGAATAGACTGGGTATTCTTATTCTTCTTCTTTCCATTATTGTGTTGTTGTTGTACTCTATATCACCTATCTCAGTATTGAAACACTGGCGGAACAAGTTTCAACCGCGTCACCTGATATATATGCCTGAGGATGTAACTAAACCACAAACAGACTAGCGCCACGCAGGCCGTTGCGTCACCCACTCCGCCGCGACGCGCCGCAGCCAATAAACTACTAGTGGCATTCGTCAACCACTCCTCTCCTCTCTTCTATCTTCGGAACTGCCTCCATCCCAACCATCTCATCTCATCTGCCACTCTCTTTCTTTTTTCTTATCTCACCCTATGTCCATCTTTTAAATCTCTTATACTCTTCTATTCTTCTATTTTTCTTCTTCTTCCTTTCTCCCTTGCTTCATCTGCTTACTATCGACCATGTTCCTTCGTTCTTTCTTATTAGGGGCTACCGCCCTGACTTTGCCTTCTAGCGCCGTGCTTGTTGTCCCGGAGACTCAGGGAATCGCTTCTGACGATGGCATTTCGGCGCTGAGCCCTCTAGAGGCGCAATCGACACAGCAGCAACTGATTGAACTTTCTTGCACCGAATGTCCGTTCCGCGAAGTCGACGAGGACGGCCAAGTAAGCTGGTCTGACGGTTTCAAGACGTCTCTCGTACGTTGCACTGACCCCCCTTCGCTATGCAGAAGGTATGCTGACATGCAGATCGCAGTCCTTGAATTTCTCGGTCGATGACGGATTGCTCCTGGCCAACGATCATCAGGTCTTCCCGCCACCACCACCCGTCACTATCAATGCCGTTCAGCGTCGCGAATCCGATGGCGAAGAATCCGACCCGATCCCTCTGGGCTACGCCCTCGAGGTGATGCCTTTGCCCACCCCTCCCGAGGAGGAGGTCGAACTGTTAGAGATCCGTTTCACCGTCCTAGACCTCGACAGTCACCCCGTTCCCCTTGATACCGTTGCGATTTCCCTGATCCACGACCGTGAGGGCAGCATCTACATGGCCAAGACCGAGGTGGAGGAGACCGCTCCCAACCGCGTGTCCTGGAAGCAGTGCCGCGGTAAACCCAGCTGCTTGAGAAAGCTTCTGTTCAACCGTATGCACGACTTGTTTGCTGCCGCCAAAACCCGTATGCTGGGTATGAAGTCTAGACTGGCTGGACCCAAGGGCTGCCACGGTCGTCCTCCGTTCCCTCGCCCTATGCACCATGGCCCTCACCACCACCACGGTGATGGTGCCTGGGCTGAAGGTGGCCCCTCGCACGCCGGTGACCACTTCCCTCCGCCGCCCCCGCCGCACATGCACCACTTCCACCACGGTGGCTTGCACCACACTATGTCTCGTATCTTCCGTTTCATTGTTGTTCCCGCCGTCCTCGGTGTTCTGGCTGGTCTTCTCGCGAGTGCTCTTGGTATGCTGTTTGGCCAGGTCGTTATCTTCTTCTGGCTGCGTTACCGTCGCTCGGGCGACAAGCAAACCACTGCCAACCTGGAGCGAGGAACCGCGTCTGAGAAGCAGGGCTTGATGGAGGAGTCTGACGAGATTCCCCCTCCTTACGTTGACGAAGGAGTGATCGTTTCGGATGAAAAGCAATGAATGACAATCGCTAAGGCGGATTAACATTATGTTTATATGTACAAACACGGACTGTGCTGTGCGATAGTCCTTGAACATCACTTTATGACCTTTTTTTTTTTCTTTCTCGGTGCTTTTGGTATTGAAATTTGGGCTTTCTTGGGTGTTTTGTGTCTTTTCTGTCTGTCCTTAGGATTCTCTTACCGTCAACAAATTTTATTAGCCTATAATTAGGCTGAATAGATACAGTAAATCAATATTCATATCCTTCTTGCTACCATGATTATTTAATATAGACGAGATATGACCCTAGAAACCTGTCGAGTCGTTCCATATAAAGTGGACAGATCACGTGCAATCAGGAACGTGAACTCCACGCATTCCCCTCCATCGGCGTCACTCTCGACATCAGGCCCAAGGCGCATCGCAGCCCCCAGTTTGCTTGTTAAGTTGCTGCGCGTGCTTCTACGATGACTGTCTATTGTTTTTTTCCTCACATATGGGCATTCCTGCTTACGGGTTTGAGTGCCGTCTAAGCTTCTAATTCGAGACACCTCCGCCGAACCTCCATTCCTCTCCCTCTTTATTCGTCCGATCAGACCGACACCAGAGGCTGTTGACAGCCGCCCGTTATCTGCCTGTCCTTTTTCTCTCCCCTATAATCTCCTTTTTTACTGTTTCTTGCCCAACCAACGTCATGATGCAGTGGTCGTCATTCGTTACCAAGGCCCAATCCCTGATTGATCCGGCCAACTTCAGCCTTCCCGTTCTCACCTCGACGGATCGCAATCCGTCCAAGGCCTCTCTTTTCCGCCAGCAATTCCGTCTCCCAGACTCCCAGAACCCAATGCAGGAGATTACCGCAGAGCTAATCCTTCCGATACCTCATGGCACCGCAAACCGAGACCGTTCGCGCGACTTCGACCGGGCCGGAAACCGCTACGTCGGCCGACTCCATATCAGCGAGCGATTCCTTTGCTTTTCCACACAGCCCACGAGCTTTGCACCTTCTGCTGCCCTCAATGCTTCGACAAACTGGGCCGGACAAACACATGGTACGGGGCCGTTTGGGAATGGATTCACACTGCCGCTATGTTGTGTTCGTCGGGTCGAGCGACTGAACAGTCTCAGCCACGTCTTCTCTCTTGCCTTGACCACGTGGAACGGTGCACTGGGCAAGACGCAAGAACCGAACTTCGTCCCGCAGCGATTCACCATCGAGCTGGTAGGAAGCAGGCAGGCCTGTGAACGATTCTGCGATGGTCTGAAAAGGGGGCTGCGGGAGTGCATGAAGGATATTGAGAGCTTGCGCGTGGTGGTAAATGATTGCTACTCAGAATACTTGCTGTCTGGTGCCAAGAACAAGACGCAGGATGAAAACAACCCTGCCGATGTGCGTCAACCGCCTGATGCTGGGCTGGGGATGATATTCCGCTATCCCGGTGATGCTCGCAAGCTCCGGGACCGAAGTAAGATGAGGCTATGGGGTGAATATTTTAGAGGTACGGTTTCCCCCACTTTTGTCTGACGATGTGTATTAACATGTTGTGCTTTAGAAAACGGCCGAAATGTGACTCTTATTCGACAGCCAACCTTTCACAAGTTGATTAGAGTTGGTCTTCCCAATCGGTTGCGGGGAGAGATCTGGGAGTTGACTTCCGGTTCTGTCTATTTGCGGATGAGGTCACCGAAATTATACCAGGAGACTCTTGCCAAGTTCTCGGGACAAGAGTCACTGGCAATCGACGAAATCGAGAAGGATTTGAATCGAAGCTTACCCGAGTACCCTGGCTTTCAGAGTGAGGAAGGTATTGGACGCCTCCGGCGAGTCCTTACAGCCTACAGTTGGACCAATGCAGAGATTGGGTATTGCCAGGCTATGAATATTGTCGTGGCAGCTCTGTTAATGTGAGTGGCTTGACCGTTGTTGATTGAATTGTCGCTTATTTCCACAGTTATATGTCTGAAGCGCAAGCCTTTTTCCTGCTATCTGTTCTTTGTGATCGCCTCGTACCAGGTTACTACTCCACGACTATGTACGGTACATTACTTGACCAGAAGGTGTTCGAGTCCCTGGTTGAGAAGACAATGCCAATCCTGTGGGATCACCTTGGGAAATCGGACGTCCAGCTCTCCGTCGTGTCCTTGCCTTGGTTCCTTTCCCTCTACATCAACTCTATGCCTCTTGTTTTCGCTTTCCGTGTGCTCGATGTGTTCTTCCTAGAAGGTCCGAAAGTGCTATTCCAGATCGGATTGGCCATCCTTCGGATCAATGGTGAAGAACTTTTGGACGTCCAGGATGACGGCTCTTTCATCTCAGTTCTGAAGTCTTACTTCTCCCGTCTGGACGAATCAGCCCATCCACGATCTGAGAATCCCAAGCTGAGAGCGATCACCCGCTTCCAGGAGTTGATGGTGGTTGCCTTCAAAGAGTTCTCTGGCATAACACACAGCACGGTCACGGAGCTACGTGAGAAGCATAAGAATGCTGTTCTTGAAAACATCGAAAGCTTCGCCAAGCGCACTTCTATCCGAAACCTAGGGCCTGAGAGCAAGCGTCTCAGTATGGACGACTTGGGTGTCATCTACGATCGCTTCTACGAGGTGCTCTACAACCATCAACAAAGACAAAGAGTCATTGATGAAGAGAAAAAGCGCCAAGAAAAGAAGAAGATTGAGCGGACTTCGGTTCTTGGACCTCCTGTCGACAGAGAAGTCGGACGAGTTGGCCTTGGACCAAGTCCTACACATATGGACTATGCCGCCTTCCAAGACTTCCTTGCCGCCACATGCAGATGGGCAGTGTCTGACTCATCTGGTCCGTCCAGGAAGGACTCAACGGCTGAGCCGAATTACATGGGATTCAGGGGTTTCAACAGATCCTCGTCTTCTCTGAACAAGCCCGAACCAGCAGACCACGAGTTCATGCAGCGTCTATACCGTAAATGGGCGACTGACCCATCAGAAGGCTTGAGCTTGCAGAACGTGGTCAATGGATTGGCTCGCCTCAAGGGTCCCCGTGATATCATGAACAACATCAATTACTTCTTCAACCTCTATGACGACACAGGAAATGGTACCGTTGACCGAGAGGGTATTCTTAGAATCTCGGAAACCTTGCTCTTCCTCTCGCGGAGGGGCTTTGAAGGCACGGTTGCACCTAGTCAGCCCCTGGAAGAATTGAATGGAGGTCATGATGGGGAACAAATCGATAATGACAAGTTATCTACTGAGGAGCGGTTTCTGGGTAGTGTCAGCGCTTTCATTCGTCGCTGCTTCGAATATGCCGACCCTAGTCATCCTGAGAACGCAAAGGCAGCTGCTGAAAAGGAGACAAACGAGAAGGCGGACGAAGCAGCCGATAAACTGGGTTCATTCAGCATCGGCGAAGACGAAGAAGACCTAATCGAAGTTGACGAAAATCCCAACCCCGATTCAGCAACGGGCGCCCCAGACCCCGAACAAGATGAGCAAGAAGCTCACAACCGCGCGGCCTCTGAATCCGCAAACCTCGCCCTCGACCCCAACAACCCCCTACACATCACTCTTCCCACCTTCCGCATGGTCATCCTCGCCGACGAACTCCTCGAGCAATTCTTTGATTCCTTCTTCCCCACCTCCTTCCATCTTTTCGACCACCCCTCCCACCCCGCGTCCATTGCCTCCTCCTCCCTCTCCTCAAACCTAACCACTTTCTCCAACCTCAACATCCCCAAGCCCCAGTTCTCCGCCTCCAACAACGTCTCCGTCGCCGGCGCTTCAGGCGGCATCGTCCCGCCGGGCAAGGGTCTCCGCGGTGTCCTGGACAATATCGTCTCCGACGGCATCCGCATGGCCGCAGAGGTCAAGAAACGCATGGACGAAGCGCAGCGCGATCTCGAGCGCAGCGCTGTCCATCGCGAAGACGAGGACGACGAGGAAGATGAAGAAGACGAACATCATCCTCACCGTGGAGAAGCTACTCCCTCACCCGCTATCGTGGGCGGAATTTCTAGCTGGGGCGCTGGTGCGTACGGTGCAGATCCGGAGCGACGGAGTGTACGCGAGGCAGATCGGGATTTGCTGGAGGGGGCGGAGGTTGTTAGTGTGCGCGGGAGAGATGAGGCGAGTTTGTTGGATAGTCATGATAAGCAGGAGGAGCAGGAGAGCAAGGCAGATGGTCATGCACAAGGTAGTAACGGTGGAAGTCCACAGAGAAGTGAGTCGCCTTCTACTGAGCATGGGACTGTTGTTAGTAAGGTTGTTGAATTTGAGTCGTGATGGCCACCCTTTTCTCTCTTTTTCTCGCTTATTGCTCCCACTCATACATATCACACTCTATATCTATATCTCTCATTTTCTTTTTTTTTTTTTTTCAATGTTGTCAATACCAGCGCTATCATTGACTTTGTTGTTGTCTTGTCTAGCCATTCTGTCGTTTAGATTACTTTTCTTTTCCTTTTCTTCGTGTCTTACTGCGTTATGCTCTGGCCAGAGCAGAAATCTATGTATTATTTCCCGAGGATCTTTAATTTCTGGCGTTGGTCAGTAGTAGTCCCTTCGATTACTAGCTCGAGCTTCGGTGGTATACCATACATAACGCAATGCCATGATCGTCGAGAGTTTCGAAGTTAGCATAGTTTTTCGCCTGGTATCCGGTAGCATTGTACGTCCTGTCTCATGTATATATCTCCTGCCCTGTCAGTACAAATATTTGTATATATCCACGCACTCGGGTTTCATGATAATGTACAACGACGATAGTAGATTTGATCCGGAATCAAATCAGAATCGGAATCCAAATTGTTATTCTGCCTGCAGTATAATTAAACAACAGAATGGGCTGAGCGATATGAAGAATGCTTGCAATAGCTGCAGAGCGGTTCAAATTCACAGAATGACCCTCACATTCAGAGCAGCCAGATCCCTCAGAATACCACCAATGCACAAGGTTTCTTTCCTCAAAATCATTAAAAAATAAAAAAAAAAGCTAACTAATCTCTTATCTTTCCTTGCCTCCCCCATTTGATAAGGGAAAAGGCTAATATTTGCCAATCGATTTAACCGTAGACACGCTTACTACGGCGTTGAATAAATTCTCGCAATTTCAATAGCAATTTGATGCCCGCGATCCAAAAAGTTCTTTCTTTCTACATACTTTCAAGGACAAAATTTTACTGTTAATTATGATGGGTAATCATTTAGCCCCTACAGAAAACCCCGAACATGCACCATCTTCGATGGAGGGGCAATTCACCTTGAGCGAGGATACCAAAGATGCTACACTGGGCCAACAAAATGATAAATACCTCGCTACTAAATGGGAAATACGGGCATATTACGCGTGCGTTGCCTGCTTCCTTGTTGAAGGCTCTGACTTATCGTTGAGACAGTTATTACATTGGAAACAACGGATTGTCTCTGTTCAGTAGGCCTGATATTTTGCACTTTCTAACAACAACCTTGTTTTTACTATTTATCTAACTAGACATTTATAGATTTTGCTCCTACAGCCTTCCAAAACCTTCTTAATCAAGCGGCCGGAGACACTGGTGGCCTTGCCTTTGCGGGGAAATTCCGCTCAGTGGAAAGCATAGTCCTCCTATGCAACGGCATTTCCTTTGCCATCCAAATTTTGGTATTCCTGGCGATAGGAAGCTTTGCGGATATTGGGAACTGGCGTCCAAATATTTTGCTCGTTCTCTCCATCATCGCATATGCCCTAGGGTTCGCTTGGCTAGGCGTGCACACAGAGGACAAATGGCAGACAGGTGCCGGGCTGTATATCGTCGGGCTTATTGCTTATCAGACCACACTCACGTTCTGGACTGCTGCATTCCCATCACTCGCGCGTAATACCGCTGAGATGAGAGAAAAGGCTGGTGATTATGCGCACGGGGCTCTCTCCCGCGAAGAATATGATTACGCCGATACAATGAAAAGAAGCCAGCTCGCGAACACTGCCTTCTATATTCAGTCAGTTGCGGAGATTTTAATCCTTGCCGTCATAGTTGGCATTATGTTTGGAATTGATGTTGATGCCAGTGAAGCCAAAAACAACTGGGGCTTAAGTGTGCTTATAGCCTTTGCAAGTGGTGTCTGGCTGCTTGTCTCATTGCCATGGTTCTTTCTAGAGAAACGGCGACCTGGCCAAGATCCTGGCTCTAGGAACATTATAATGGCAGGGCTTTCGCAGCTTTATTTCGCAATGAGTCAAGTGTGGAAATTGAAGCAGAGCTTACTATATCTTGTTGGTACGCAACCTTTCTTTTTCTTGAATCAATTCCCACCACAACTAATAACATCGCCTACTCAAGGATACTTCCTGCTCGGCGATTCATTGAATACCACGGTCACTGTGATCTCTACATTGCAGAATAGCTTGGTGGCATATAATACACTACAGCTGACATATCTTTTGATAGTGGGGATCGCAGCGCAGGTTCGTTATGAGCGATGATTTTGGAATTATGTTCTAACCTGTGCCGCTAGGCCGTTGGCATTTATCTATTCTGGGCCATTCAACAGCGATATAAACTTGGTACAAAGACTATGTTCAACGCGATTGCACTCGGTATCGTTCTTCTTGATGGCTGGGGCATGATAGGAATCTGGACCGACAAGTTTGGCTTTCATCATGTGTGGGAAGTATGGGTAAGAATTCTCTTCATTTCTCCTTTCATAAAAATATCCAACTACGGAGGGATAGCTGAATTTCATCGTGGAATTACGCTAACACTTTTATCTAGGTCTATCAAGCTTTCTATGGCCTTTTCATATGCCCGTGGTATAGTTATTCGCAAATTATGATATCGGAGGTGACTCCCCGGGGATACGAATTCCTTTTCTTCAGTCTTTTCAGTATTGTTGGAAAGACATCCTCGTTCATTGGGCCTCTTGTGTCCAGTGCCATCATTGATACTACGCCTTCCGGGAATGCATCCACACCCTTCTATTTTCTATTCGGATTAAGCCTGTTAAGTTTTTGGATTTTGTTTGTCGGGATTGATCTGAAGCAGAGTCGCTTAGAGCAAGAGCAGTTTTTGAAGGAGAAAGAGCCAAAGTGAAGAGGACTCAGCCATCTTGCCAAGACAGGAAGTTGTAAGAAAAGGTTAATTCAGAATCAAAAGACCATCCATGGATCAAAACTCGCACAATTATGCTTTGAGATTGGTCTCTAACACCGGCAGAGGTTATGACACTTTCAGTGTCACAAATTTCCAAGGGTGAGTGTCCATTGCATCTACTATAGTCTGACCCGCTTATGCCCAGCACTGGCATTAATTTATGATTCCCAAAGTTCAATACGTTGCAAGGTTATAATGCAATTTAAGATACTATCTGCCGAACTGTTTGGAGTCGCAATCAGTTAGATATTCTACCGCGGACCCAAATGGTTTGGTATCTGTACTAAACAGAATGCTTATGTTATATTTCAGTTCAATATAAAACAGCAATTTCATTTCTTGACTTGCATCTCCATTAAGTTACCCTCCACATCTTTTCATAGAATTTTCTCAAGAAGATTGGCTGCCTAGATGGTCTAAGAACAGAAGCTTGGTCCATCTTCTGGCTTGCCTGTTCACAAGCAAAGCATCATACTCAGGACAATCTTCTCCTTCACTCAGTGTACAAAGATACATGAAAGTGTGAATTCATCAAACATGGCTCACCATATGACCAGCATGATCGGTTGTCCGTTAGTTTAAGTCACACTCGGAGGGGCATTGATGCCATTGAGTTCAAAGACGAGTCGCCGATTGGATACATCAGTCATTGCAATACTGAAGAGAAAGAGATCCCTGCTCATCGCGTGTCCCAAGTTTCTCATCCTAGCTTATTGATTGCTAGAAAAATCTTTGTTGCTAGAGGCAATTTTTACTTTTGTTATGGACACTGGGGAACCACATTGAATGAGATCGGACAGTTCTGGCCGGTATATCAGCTCAGTGAAGTGGAAGTGTCATTTATTTGAAAGTGGTAAGCTCTAAATGAACAAAAAATTCAAAGGCCCTGAAATCAAGCCAATCATTATCCTGGCCAAATATGCCAACAGAGAGGACTTTATGCAGCTTACTTTCATATTATCAACGAAATAGACTTTTGTCCAAGTACTATATGGATTCAACGATTGGTCACTAGCATCTTGATTCAATTTGGCTCATGGTCAAAAGTGGACTTTCACAGAAGATGGAACTTTATCACTGTCTCATGGCCTAACCTTATCTGATATGAATTTGGATTTGAAGGCTGCTAAAGTCTTTTTCTTTTTTCGGGCGTTCAACAACCTTATTGTGACTTGCGAGGCCTGGAAAATTATGGTATATTACCCCATGAACCAATTCAACCATCATTGTTTGGAAGTATACGCGTGAATCAGGTTTGAAATTCCTTGTCTTTTAGGTTCTCTCCGCGAGTATCTTATTCCAATCATACTTTTAATCATAAGCTTGCATAGGGATTCGTTATTTATTCTAGTGAACTATGAACAAATACATGTCAAAAAGAAAAGAAGGAACAAAAAAGATCATATATACTCCCAACTCCGGACCATTCTCCAAGCCTAATATCAATTTACCCTCATCCGAACCTTAGTCGGTAACCCTTCCGACGGCTTTGCCGTAAGATCCAGCAGCTGATACATGTATCTTCCATTCTCATAAGCCAACTCAAAATCAAATGATCGGAGCGTCATGACCAATGCCATCTTCAGCTGCATCAACGCCAACGTCTGTCCCAAACAGGTCCTCACTCCCTTCTCGAACGGCCGCCACGAATTCCTGGGCACGAAGTACGGATCCGTGGGATCAGTGACCAGATGACGCTCTGGGTAGAACCGATCCGCGTCCTTGAATAGGTCCTCACGATGCATGATGGCGAAGTTGTTAATCATCACAACGAACGGATGGGTGGGGTGGGCTTGGCCATCGGGTGTTGTTATTGTTTGGTTGGGGTGGCCGCAGCGGGGACTGAGACCTGTTGGAGGCCAGAGGCGAAGCGCTTCTTTGATTGCGGCGAGGGTGTAAGGAATGCTGTTGAGGAGGTTGGGGTCTTGTTTGAGGAGGTGCGCGGCGGCAGCGGGATCTTTGCCGAAGACGTGGTCGTGTTCCATGCGGACTCGATGTAGGACGTCCGGGTGATTGCTAAGGGCTGCGTAGGTGTACTAGGATTGACTGTTAGTAGCTGCTTCTGTTTTATGTAAAGGAGCACAAGGACTTACACAGAGTGTGCTGGCAGACGTATCGTGCCCAGCAAAGATGAGTGTCTTGATTGATGTAATGAGCATTTCTCGCGTTTCCTCATCCAAAGGCGCTGTTTGGTTATTCAACCCATTCTTCTGCCGATTGAACGCAATGGCGTCATCAATGATATGGGAAGGAATGCTCTTGCCCTTCTCATCTACACCCGGAGGGTTGGCTATTCTCTCGTCCACGACGCGACCAACATAGCGGTCGAGGGCTCTTCCATGCTTCCATTTCTGGTAGTGTCGACGGGGACTGATGTCGTATAGGTATCTTGACCAGAAGTCCTGAGGACAGAGAGAGACCTGCTTCCGGAAGAGGTCGAGGAACTCGTCATCCTCTCGTTGAGAGCTGCAATTGTTTCGCCTGTTATGGGGTTAGCCCGGCCTTTGGGGGGGGAAGAAAGAAAGAAAGAAAGAAAATACATACAAGATAACCTTAGCTGAGACATTGAAAACCATTCTCGCACACACCTCCACCATCTCAAATACCTCACCGGTCCTCGCCCGATCCCTGAGCACCTCGCAAAACTCCAGCGTATCATCTACAGTGTCCGGGATGCGCTGCAAAATTTTCCTGGGCTGAAAGCCCGGTGAAAACGATTTCCGGGCAACCAACCAATCATGTCCATTCGTCGTGACAATTGATTTATCGCCCAGCAGATGGCCCGTCCATTGACGGATCATCCCGGACTCCTTGGGCATGTTTAGCTTCTGCGTGACATGCGCCGCGAGATCGGAATGCAGGATGACAAGCTGCGGCGGCGCGAGCGGCCACAGATCGAGATAGAAGAAGTCGCCCAGACCATACCGCTCGCGCATTAAGTGTGTGAGTAGGTGTGGTGTCGTATTAGGTGGTAGATTGGCGGCCATATCGCGCATAATTAAGAAGTGTCCCCAGATAGCGTGATGCGGTGGACCGGGGAGGTTCTTGAACAGGCTGCGCTGCTTGTGCAGGCGCCAAAGGGGATAGACCAGGAGAGCGAAAACTGCGACCATGAGAAGTAGTAGCATTTTTGTTGATTGATGAGGTTCGGTGGATCCACGAAAGAGTGTTGTCGTTGGAGGAGAAGATGCAAATTTGTTGTGGGCAAGAGAAAATAACAGATGAATAGAAGTCGACTTCTAGCATAGCGTTGCAAAGTATGTTGATATTGTCATGGAATTATTCTTTCTACCTGGCTGTTTGTTGCTTTTATATCACGACGCCTGCTTCCATGGGCATTTTTCTGAACTGGCTGAATTCGTATTCACATCTTTGCCCCCACAAGGCAGAGAGTGGTTTAAGGCTGAACCTACATGATGCAGAATGATAAAAGTAAAAATAAAGTATAAACGGCGTATGGCAAGGCGTACCTGACTAAGTGTGCCCTAAAACCGCCCCGTGAAGAGCGACCGGGCAGTACCAAAATAACATCGCCCCACCCCCATCCCCCAAAACATCGGCCCCCCAACAACATTGCCTTGTATATACGAGGTATGTAGAGGCATTGAAGTGACATTGATATGGGGCAAATTCTTGTTTGCAAATTTACCGTGTCAACGTGTTAACACCTAACAGCCCACCATACGAAAACTCTTATCTATAGACACTCGCAATCAAACGCTCATAACATAACGGCAAATCAACATATTCTCTTCGTCCATTTTCAACATGTTTCTCCTCCGAGACGCAATTTTCCTAATCGAACTGGCATTTTACTGTCCTCTCATCCCGGCCGCCATCTTCATTCTCCTAGCCCACGGCTTCAAAAAGCCCTACACATGGCGTCCCATCATCCTACCTCTTTTCATACTCTCCGGGTTGCGAATCGCCGGCGCCGCATTAGGCCTGGCATCTATGAGCCCGGGAAAATCTAATCTTCTCACCACGGCGACATTGCTAGATACGATCGGGTTGGCCCCGGTTATGTGTTTGCTTGTGGGACTTTTGGTTCGAGCGTACGTCGTCCCCTTCCCAATGGTCGTTTCGGGAAAATGAAAAGACACCGCTGATACAAAATAAAAATCAACCAGAAATGCTCCTCTATACAAAGGCTTCCCCTTTTGGGCTTTCCTCCCCCTCCAACTAACCGTGATAGTTGCAACAGTCTTGACAGCATACGGCGGCCGCGATCTCTACACGTCCGCGCAGAACCAGTCGCGGGACATCATCCTCATGCGTGCGGGCACCTTCATTTTCATCAGCATCTTCACCGTCATGGTTGTGCTAGCCGTGCTCACACTTCTAAACGTCTCGAGGCAATGTTGTCATCAAACCGAACGCGCAGCAACCATCTGCACGCTTCTCTGCGTGCCGTTTATGACTATCCGGTTGGCATTTTCAGTAGGGTCACTCTTCACGATGTCTGATGGGAATAAGTCCGTGTTGAATCCCATGTCTGAGGAGAATACGGATATCTGGGTGCATTTCTTCATGGTGATCGTTGTGGAGTATGTGGTTGCACTGTCGGCCACGGGGGTGGCGTTGACGGCGAAAAACAGGATTATGTTAGAGTCAGGGAAGGATGATTTGTTGTCTGATGAGGAAGATGAGGGTCATCGAGCTTAAACGTTCTAGAAAGTATATAGAGATTTTTCCTTCACTGCCATGTCTTTCAGTGTTGGTTCTTTTTGTTCCTCATTTGTTCTGGTCTTAGATTCGTTGGAAATGCTGTTAAACGTGTTTGCGTTATTCTATATATATATATATATATTTTTACACAACCTAGGACCCGAGAGCAATAAAATCAGCGCCGAACCAACATTGGATATGCGGCGAAAAGCCTGTAGGGATATATAGTACCCCAGGGTAAGTTAATTTAGACAAGGCAGAGAGCAAAGCCACTGATTTTCAGCCTTCACTCAGTATCGATGCTACATTGTTCCAATCATGCTACTTTTTATGTGCCTCTTGAAAATTTTATGCATCTTGACTGATTCAATTCAGTATGGCTTATAAAGTGTCAAAAAGTAAATCAATGTCTGGTCTTTACAAGAAAACTGCTATGTACATGGTATAATCCCCGAACGCCCACAAATCAAGAAGTAAAAGATAGAAAATGTTACCGGCATATTGTCGAAAGCACAAACGCAATGACTAACACAACCAACCACGACATAGCCCCTAGGACCATCGCCATCCGTTTATAGAACCGCAGATGTCCGGCCTCGTTTCCATGCGGAAATGGATTCGGCCTCTGCCTCCCCAGAAACTCGCACAACGGCCCCCACCCATCCTGACACTTGAAGACCAACAGTCGTTCGGGGCGCACTATTGTCTTTACCCAGTTATTGTGCGCATGATACAGCTCCTCCGATGGCTCGGGAGCCAGCCCAAACCGCTCAGACGCCAACCGCATCCAACCCCGGTAGAGGTCGTTGGCCGAGACCACCCCAGGCATCCAGTACCCAATCCAGCGGAAGCAGTCAGAGCGCAGATCGATGCCGAAACCGTGCCACGACTGCAGCCAGACACGCGCGGAGGTGCGCTCCGTGAGGATGACTTTCGCGTCGGGGTACATCTCGAGGAGGTCGGGGAGACAGGCGCTGCCGGGAACTTCAAGGGTGGCATCGCGGCCGTGGAGGAGACGGGCGAGTTTGCGGCGGCGGAGAGTAGTGTCTTTTGTGTGGACGATGTCGGCGCTTAGACGGAGGTTTTTGAATTGGTACAGCGGTTCGGCGAGGTGGAAGCAGTTTTTGTAGCCAAGCTCCTCAAGGGCTTTCTTCATGCTCATCGTGCCGGTCCGGGGAAGGCCAGCCTATGTATTATCAGCATATGTTATATCATGAATAGGTCGTTAATTATGGGGTGGACTCACCACGATGACTTTGACTGTCCCTTCGTGGTACATGCCGGATGAAGACATATGGAGTTGCGCGTCGACCTTGGGATCCGGACTGGAGATACTGATGCCAGACCGGAGGATCAGGGTCAGAAACCTGATCCTTAGGTCCGAGTACACCCATGAATTGGGTTGATGCATGTTGATCTGTATTTGTGAACTCTGCATAGTTGCGATATTTATGCCTGAGATGAGAATGAATGGCAAAGAATTGGAAATAAAAGATATAGACTGCGATAAGTACCTGAATGATCATCAGAAATCTTACCTTTAGCTGATATTTAGGACTATTTATCTATCTAGATTCATGATGCCGAGAAAACTGAAATGAGCGGCCCCCGAGCACACGAACGAGGCACAGCAGGCCAAGAGAGAGGAAGTTGAGTCTCTATGTGCTATTTTTGCTTCCTAGTGGAATGTTGAGTGCGATAGGCTAAATGCTGACCACTGCTATACCTATTCATAACCATTCTTCTGGCCCCCGAAGGCGAAGTTGAGCTGGCTCCCATACAGTCCGGACCCATTGCTTGGGCCTTGGGATGCGAGGTAGAATCCAGGGCATAATTCATAGTGCTCGGGGTACCATTCATAAGGCTGATAAGCAAAGGAATACCGCATGTTGCGTTACCAGCGATACTAGGCCAGGGGAGGTTGTGGTGAACCGGAGATCCGAGAGATCGATGTCTTAGTCAAAATAGTCTACAACTAAGCTTCATGCCCAGCCTTACAACCGGTACTATTTTTGCGTGAAGTTTCAATAACAGCCATAATAATGTGAAACGTGCCCTCCGAATAAGCACCAACGAGGCTGATTTATGATGCGGCGCAGTTAGAAGGATTCTCGTATCGCCCTTTAGCACCTGAAGATCATCCCCAATCAGGGTTTTTTGTGTGTTGGAATGACTCTGACAAAGTATTTATTGTGTCGCTTCCTTTGCTCCTGTTTTATTATTTTTTTCTTAAAATTTTTGGACCAAATTCGAGAAATAAAATAAAAAATAAAACTGCACCATGACCAACTCTCTCTCTGCTGCTGAATGCGCCTTTTACGCCGTCCTCATCATCCCCGTTCTCTTCCTCATCGTCCGACACGGCCTACACGGTCTCCTTGGATGGCTCTTCCTAGCTCTCTTTTGCACTCTCCGAATTATCGGAGGTGGTATGGCCGTTAATGATTCTAGCCCTGCCGCCAGTATCATCTCCAACGTGGGATTGTCTCCAATTCTCCTTGCGGCGGCTGGTATCCTACATGAAGCGTGAGCCCTTCCCTTCTCCACAGGGGTAGTAGTATGCTAACAGTAACAGGAGAACTTACCGCCTCCAGAATGTCGACCAAAAAGTCGAATGGGCTTTCGCTCTCCTCTATCACATCCCCGTCGTCACCGGCGTTGCCCTCACGGCCGCTGGGTCGTCCAAACTCCAGCACCACGAACAACCCATCGAAAAGAATGAAAATCTCGTGAAAGCCGGTATGTCCATCTTGGTGGTTTCGTGGGCAATCCTGGTGGGTTGGACGGGCCTTTCATTCGCGGCTCCCAGGGCCAGGAGCGTGGATCGTGCGCGGGCTGGGACGGTGGTATGTTCCCCTCTTCTTTTCTCCTTCATTTCTTTGATTCTGTAAGGTTTCCTGCTAACTGAGTAACAGCTCCTCTGGTCTATTGCCTTTTCGCTTGTCCTCCTTGGAATTCGCGTCTTCTACAGTCTTGTAACATTGTCCACACGGAAGCCCTATCTCAACCCGACCACTGGGTCCCTGGCCATCCGGGTTATTCTGGGCTTCCTGCCCGAGTTGATTGCGACCATTGTCTATGTGGCTGCTGGACTCAAGACGCATGGAGTAGCCAAAATTGTGCATCGGGATGGAGGGGATGATCAATTATGATTTGCGTGGTCTAGCAAGATCAATAGATGATGGAAAGATGTTATCGTACATAAAAAACAAAGAAGTGGGCATGGGCTGGCATTATAATTACAACTAGACCGGGTATCTTAAAATACTACACAACCTGTTGAAAGTGAGGAAGAGTTGCTTGAAAAGTTGAAACCTTGTTGCTATCACTTCGTTGGAAATTGAGCTATCCATGCCACCCCTGATGCTGCGCTGCTGCCTACTGTTGCAGCTATGGGCCCCCTCACGCGTTGGCTGCCAACTGATCAGCGGCTTTTGAGTTTTTGGTTGTTGCTTCCGGCCATGCCATCCTATTTGAGCTTTCCCTTGAGGACTTCTGAGTCCTCTACTGTGGTCTCTTATCTCATAATCTCATGCTTGTTTCTTCAGCCTGGCTCTCAATAATCTACATGAGAAAGGCAACTTCTGGTTATCCAACTACCAGGTCTGGCTTGCAGCGTGTTGGTGATGCCTGGATGAACTGGGTTGCGTCTTTCGCTCTCCACAGCCGTCTTTCGACCCCAGCAGTATCAGTTTGTTCATGTGTCCTCGCTTTGTTTACCAGCCAGTAGCAAAATTGCCGCATCCTTTTCATTTCAGCGTGTCCGACATGCGAGGCTTGGAGCTGCAATGCCCAGATGTGATTGACGCAGGGCACTAAATCTCGGCCTCCAGGCATCACTAGTAGATGAAGATGGAAACATCAGCAGACTCACGGGATCTTGAGAACGAGAGGAATTTATCCCGTCGCTTTTGCTGATAAGGAAGGCGGAAATGTGGGCTTGATGGGCCGAGAGCAAGTATAAGGAGGGCAATCGAGCCCGCAGAGGTTGCAACACTACAACTCAATTCCTCTGCAACCCACATTCTCCCTTTCAGCTTCCACGCCCTTCCTCTCTGAGGCAGTTCCATCGCGGCTTTTTCTAAGCATCACGAGGAACATAAATCAAGACTTCCAGGCGGGAATTGTCACGGCCTTACTGTTCGCTCTCCTATCCTTTTCTAAGGCTTTCATCATCGATGCTCTAGATGAATATGGAGTTTCTGCTCAACAATATTCCTAGAAGAACTTTTTAAAATCTTAGAAAGTAGTGATGCCAAATTTCTTGCAACTTCACGCCTCGTTACGAAAGTTGAGACAATGTTCTACCCCATGACATACAAATATATTGGAAACGTGCAGAGATCACCATAATGTCCGCGGCAGAGCAGTGAACTGCAAGATGTCATAAAGCAGGAAACTGTACAAGCTGCTTGTAGTATATATATTCCCCTTTTCCGTAACACTGAATTGAACTAACGCCAGAGAGGTTTCTTCTCGTCCAACTCCACCAGGGGATCTTATGCGACCTAAGATCGCCAAAGAGCGTTAAAGATGCCCCAAAAAACCTTCAATCCAAAATTGATGCTTATGATCATGCCTATAACGAGGCAGAGTGAAAACATGTAGAGAGAACACTTTCAGGTATTTGCAAGCCACTGTTAACTGCCAGGATGTTAGCCAGAGTGGTGTACTGCAAATTCGTTATTAGAAATTCCATCACACTACACTGATCACATAAGTGAGATGATGTTGAGAGCTTCATCAACTTGGCCTTTCCGGATCTTGCAAATATTGGCAGAGTACTTGGGACGGCTTCAATCTATACTATTGATAGGCAAAAAGCAGAGAACGGATAAGAAGTCTAAAAATTCCATAGTCTACTATGCACCTCGCATAGGAAGTAAAATAGCCAAGGGATCATTTGCCATGTAACTGCTAAAAGGCAAATGAATCGGCAACATTGTTCTCATCAGAAGCAGGACTTGGTTCTACAAATCCGCTTGAATGGCAATTATTTCTCGAGCCGGCCATCGAGGCAGCAAGGGCCTTGAGCTCGATAGATAATGTTCATTTATTGTAGTGAAACAGCAGATCCGTAGAAGCTCAAGTTGTCAATTTTCCGGAAGGATCTTTTTCCCATGATTAGTGAACAATATCAGGAGCATGAAAGCAGGTTCTGAAGGGAAAACAACATCTTGCAGAGACCAGCAAGAGATCTTATGCTATCGTGTGATTTGTAGTTTTTGAAGGGGGGAATTGGTAGGAGAAGAGGTAAATAAAATGTATGCCCTTTCCAGGGGTGGCTCTAATTCTTGTACTATAAGGCCCATCCTTATATGTATGCTGCTCGCTCTATTTCTCTTCTCTTTTTTTTTTTTTTTTTCAAAGGTGTTGGCAGAGAGGAGAAAGGCCGGGTGTAGGTTATCCAGACTGCACGAGGCTGATATGGAGCAGAGTGATACTGACTGAGAGTGCTTAGCAATCTATCATACGTCTTTCTAGCTACTCAGGCCGACTATATACCTATTTTTATACAGAAACTATGCATTGAGCCAGGCGCTGAGCGTCCTCGCTAAAGCGGCAGCATCCGGAAGAAGAAAGGTATGACGGTTCGAGAAATTCAGAACTGTATAGGTGTATATTTATATGTACTAGTATGCAGATATGCAGTATGCAGTATGCAAGACAAGATACAAGATGCAGCGGGGTATTTTCCAAAAAGAGTCAACATAAAACAACGAGCACCAGGCCTTCATAAATAGACAAAAATGAGAAGAAACAGCACCAAGCTCCAGAAAAGAAGGCAACGCAACCCAAGCCCAGAGAAGGGGATTAATCCTTCTGTCCTTCATTCTCCACCAACTCTAACACAAGCTGCCCCCTCTCATACTCAGGATGCTGCATGCATATCTTAACCGTATGACCCATCATTGCTCCCGATGCACCAATCATCAACCCACTACCCAGTCCTGCAGCCGGAATTCCCATCCCCATTCCCTGTCCGGACCCTGGCAATGAACTACCGTCGTCAAGGCAGACGACGTTGTGGCCTGGGATCACTTGCCGGAGACGGCCGTTCATTGCGTTACGAACTTCAACAAAATCCTCGTTGAAGAGAATTAGAAATTTACCGTAGAGGCATGCTGTATGTGCGCGACCGACAAATTCCATAACGACGCTTCTACTCACGTCGCCGTGTTTGTTGACGTAGACCGCGCATTCGTTGTATGCGACTAGGAACTCGGAGTCCGAGAGACGGAACATGCCGAGTGGGCGGAGGTTACTGATGCGTTGTGCGATGGAGGAGAGATAGGCCTGTGTATCTGGTTGTTCGGAGTGGAAGTCTGGCACGGACCAGGTTTGCTTCTTGTCAATGGTTAAGATTTCGATACCGCGCTGTGTCGAGATGGCGAGGGAGGAGTGGAACATGTTGATAGCGTAAGACTCGGTGGGGATATAGAACTCGTCGTATTCGCGGAAGAACTCCGTCTGTGAGCGGCGGGTGTGGATGTGCGTGAAGAAGCGGTGTTTAGAGGAGGATGATTTCTGGAGGACGGGCTCGAGGACTTTGAAGGTGGAGGAGAGACCGTCGCGTTTCTTGTACATGATTAGCAGGCGGTCTTTCATGCGGCCCGCGGCAAAGAAGCCGACTTCGCGGCCAGAGAGTTTCTGGGGGGCGCGGCGGGCGGATTCGCTGGAAGGTTGGGAGATGCCGGATGAGGGGCAGACGACATCGAGGTGGTAGGCTACTAGGGAGCGGTCGGAGATAACGAGGAAGGCGTTGAATTCTTCGAATACGGCGATTTGAGTGACTCGCCCGATGGGGATGGCCTACTTTGTTAGTTTTCACTTAGCAAAAGGGTGAGGTGAACATACCCTAACCCAACCACGGGGATCATTATACTCCGATACGTAAACCCCATTGTCCGTTCCAATAGCACACATCATCCGTCCGGGCGGTTGCTGGAAGACAGTAGCACAGTTGACATTGGTTTTGCAAATCGGCAGCGGCCTAGGTCCAGGACCAGCATATTTCTCCTCCACGGATTTGATCGCGCGGTCCAGCGGTGTGCCCTCGATAGTCACACTCTTCGATCCCCCGTGATGGTCAGAGTTCGCGAATGCAGTATCCGCCAACACGCGCAGCCGGAACGGCTCTGCATTCTGGGCATACAGCGCAGCAGCATGTTTCGTTTTCGCTTCGGTGATCATCTCGCACCATTCTGCGCGGCTTTGCGCGGAAAAGGCGTACAGCGTGTACGCCCCGTTCTTACCAAGGTGCTTTATCTTAAAAGGGTAGAGAATCTTGTCGTCCTTTGGACTTTCAAGGACTGTACTCGGGACGAGGGAATTCGTGCTGTTGGTATGTGCTAAAGGATTCGGTCCCATTGCACCCGAGCGCGCAGCATGTGGAGGAGTGACTGTCGAAACGCCACGAACAGACGACTTCACGACTGGATCGTCATTGGTACTTTCGAGAACAAGCAGGTCCATTGGAATAGGCAGCTTAGAGATATCGAAATACTCGAACTTGGCTGTCCTAGATGAATCACGGGCCGTGACGCTCTTCGCCAAGACAAAATAATGGTCGAACAGAATGGCATGCGTATCGACGAGGAATCGGGTTCTCGTTCCTGGTCGCTGCAGGTCACCCCGGAAGATAATTTCGCGACCTAGGTGTTCGAGGTTCAATTCTACCTCTTTCTTCATCTCTGGTCTGAGTTGTAGCTTGGTGGACAGCTCAACAAGATCAACCTTCTTGCTCATTTCCCCGACCTTGTTATCACACTCCAGTGCAACTTGCTTAATCTCCTCCATAGCCTGCGCAAGATTCGACTTCTCCTCCGAATCCTTAACTGTATTCTTATATATCGTCGAGAGCAACAGCGTATACCGCTGAATCCTCGTGATCGGAGCTTTGAGGTACGTATCCCACGACAACCGATGCGACGATTTATGATCACGCGCCTGGTTCAGGAACTGTCTGAAATGCACATTCCGTTCTGACTCCCTGCGGACCAGGAAATTGGCGTACGGGAAAGTCCCCGCATACTCGATGTACGTTGCCTTGGCCTTGCGGATCCATTCGCGGAAGATATCGCTGAAACCAACGATGAACGGGCCCTGTTCTTTCTGCCGGTATTTTAGTTGCGCAAGAAGGAAGTCCTCGTTGGCGCGTTTCACGCTATCGACTCGTCCAAAAACATCGGTTAGGAACTTATTCAGTCGCTTCGGCGTAATGATGGATGGTTGCATGGCTGCTAATTGGTCGCGGTACAGTTCCCGCAGAATATCTAATTGTCCGATATACGCATCTTCCGTGGTGACAATCTCGTGAAGGTTATTCTGGCGGTCGACCTCCTTCTTCGGATATGACTCCCAGACTTCTTTGGGAACTTTGTAAAACGTCACCCAGTCCTCGACCTTCTTTTGAGGCTCCATCATCTGAGCCTTCAGGTTGACCTTCTTCAGCGTCCGCATGCAGTGGTGCGAGTAACAACGGCCAAACACTTCGGACTCCTGCTCGTGCAATCGCGACGAGTAGCATCCTGTTCCTGTGATCTGGAACAATACACCGGAGAGCGTCCCATTGCCGAATTTCACCCACTCCTCGTCCTTAATCAACGCCTCCTCCGCTAACATGTTCTTGATCACACGAGCCGCCAGTGTCTCCGCATCAGCAATGTTCATTGTCGGAACCTTGTGTGTGAAAAGCGCCACAAACGCATCCACGATGGCATGTTCCTTCAGATCCATCTCACCCTCGCTCATCTCCCGAATCCACGCAACAACTGCACTAAGTGCCCAAGGCTCTGCGCATCGCTTGAAATGGTCAGACGACAACTTGGCCGGGTTGAACTTCTTGCGTCGGGCTGCGGGGATCGTAGGGAGATCGAGTAGCGCGGGGTCAGCGTCTTGGGAGAAGGCGTCGGCGCGGAGACCGCCAATCTGTGACTGGCGGACCAGTTCCTGCTGCTGCTTATATTTGATGCGATCTGCGTCGGTCTTGGATCGGATGGGAGGATCGGTGCGGGGCCCGATGGGGTGGGTTGATAGGGAAGTCGAGCGCGGGACCTGCGTCGGGCTGGGCATCGCCGGTTCGTACGAGTCTGGGGTGTAAACCTGCGTTAACTGCGTACGGCTGGGCGGGTCAATTGGCTCTTGGTGACGGTATGTTCCTGCCGGCATCAGATGCGGAGCCACAGTGGCGTTGTCCATTGGCTCAACAGGCGCAGGCGGCAGTGGCCGCATTCCAGGATGGAAGAAGAATTCCCTATGGTCTCCTCTATCCGAACTCTCGCTACCTGAGCGATAGACATCAGCACCTTGAGACAAAGCGACATCACCTTCATCGCCATAGTCAAAGCTCATGCGGCGAGTAAAATCACCAGGCTCTGCAAGGCCGCCAGTCCCGCCAGCGTCCACACGAGCATGGTTGATCGAGTAGCGAGGTTCAATGGGCATGGACTGATATTCATAATCGTCAGAGTAATCACCATGCTCATCAGCGGAAATCTCGGACTCTCGATATGATCCCGAAACCCCTGCCGCAACCCTGTCGTGATAGTCTGCTTCATCGACATATTCAGGTACATCGTAATACTCGTCATGTCCATAGTGCATTTGGGGCGTGTTACCATCGTCATAGCGCGCATAATGATCGTCATGCGGCGAAGGCGCTCGGTCTGAGTAATGAGCTGCATACGCACTGAATATCGAATCATTCGTCTCCCGTCGTGTCCGGTCACGTAGGCGACTCTCCTCCGCTCGTTCTTCCTCCTCCGCCATTTGTAACATTGCCAATCCGGCCGCGGCTTCCGCATCACTCTCGTCACTGTATGCATCGTAGTTCACGTATTGTCCCGTTCCCGTGGCCATGTTGCCATTGGCGTGCCTGTCATCAGAAGCATGCTGGGGCGATGCGATAAGCGTCTCATCAACCTCTTCCTCAATCGGCTGTGGATGTCCAGGACGCGACTCTCCTGCATTATGTCGTCCCGCCAAGCCAATCCGCCCGTCCATCACAGCAGCCTCAACCTCCTTCATCAAGTCATCATAGTTCATCTCCTCTTCTGGTCCAGCATGAAAACCACCTATTCCACTTGTACCAGCCAGAGGGGCCGGCGCTGCATCGAGATCCGTCTCCACTGGGGGACCGGGCAAAGGACGGGACTGTGGATGCCGTGTCAAGGTATCTGTCCGACGGGGCGATTGCTGTCCTGGCGGTGTTGGCAGGGACCGCCCGGAAGCGGGACGAGAGAAGCTGGGCCGTTTTGCAAATATATCATCGGTTGGGGTGGAATGCGCTGGAGGCTCTGGAGGTAGTTCGTTGTAGGTGGTCGGTGCGGTGCGACGAGGGGATTGTGGTACGTAGCCGGCTCCTTGCGATCCACGGGAGTATGAACGCGATGATATTGAGCCTAGACTAGTCGCAGTAATAGAATCTCTCGAGGCATAAGCAGTGCTACTGGAGACCGGAGACGCGGAGGTTGTGCTGTAGGCCAGTTGCGATGGCGCTGCAGTACCCGACCCATATAAACCATCAGCTGAACCAGCCGAATATGACGGACGGCTTCCATAGGGATGGTCTGGCCCGCGGGGAGGCGGCGGGGGCGGTATTTGCTGAGAAGGGAACCCGAAGGATAGCGGAGTCGAGGGAGTCTGTGCGTAGGGTGATGCGATAGTACTAGGCTGGCGTTGGACATTCTGCGAACCCCCATACCCAGCGAGACTGCCTGGCTGGTATGCTGCTGGATTGTACGGCTGGTGACCACCAGCATTGCTGCCTGTGTAGAGCGTGCCCGAGCTCGAGTAGTTTACGTTGTTGAATCCGAACTGCGACGGGGTCGGTGGGAGGGCAAATTCTTGGGGATTGTAAGGGCGCGAGGTCGAGATGGATGGCGCATACTGATATCGAGACGAGCCCTGCGATAGATTCCGGCCGTGAGAGGTTCGAGGGGAGGTCCCTGCTCCATACCGGTCCTCCCAGTCATCGGCACCCTGTGTTTCACCATTAACACCTCCGCCATATCTTGTCTCCCAATCCATTGTCCGCGAGGATTGTAGACGGGGCGAGTTGAAGAAGCCAGCGTCGTCTCCGGCGTCGTAACTGGGCATTCGTTGAAGCGGGGGTGGTTGGGTCTGTTGGGAGGTATAGAGTTCGTAGCGACTCGGAGAGGCGGCCTGGCGGCCACTCGAATACGACATGGTCGCTTATTAAATCCAGCGCAATCGGAATGGAAAGGAGTAGAGGTAGGAATGGCGAAAAGAACGAGGGATGAGGGCGATTGAGGGGAGAACTGCGTGGGCTTTTCCCGGTCGCCCTACAGAGGATCGGGCTCGGGTGTGTGTTGTGCGTGCGTGTCGAGAATAGACACTTCACTGGAGATAGTTAAAAAGATAAGGACCGAATAAAGATACCACAATAACTGGACGAGGAAGAGCCTCATGCGGAGGTCGTCAACACACAGAAGAGAGAGGGAGGGGGAGAGAAAGGGAGGGATAACAAGAGACAGGACGATGTTCTCTTCTGTAGTCCGTCTCCTCCACACGCGGCTGTGCACAGAAATGACGCGGATCCAGCAGAGCGGGACAACGGTGGTGTGGCTGTTACAGTATTTATTGAACAGAGATGGAGCATTCAATCTCACTATACCAAGGGTGCTATAGCTATGCAAGTACTAGTACTTGTTGACACACCATAATCACCGCCACACCCAGGTACCGGTACATATGTCCACTGCGTCGGGCAGAATACGAACCAGTGACCCATGTGAATTGCCTGGTCTCCCTTGTCACTATTCCGTGTTCTTGTTTTCAATTGTCTTGCCATGTAACTGCGTCTCAAAGTCGAGCATCGCGCCTTCCCCCTTCCTTGGCCGTTTCTATAGGCGGACAGGATAAGCATGTCAATTCTCACTGCAATTCCTCTCCCACGCTGCCAAGGGGATACTCCCCACCATTGACTCGTATCCTGCTGCTGCCCGCTCTTCGGTACCAGGGTGCATATGATGCCAGCCATTGACAAAATAGCAATAGAAAATAGCCATCATAGCCGCAATAAAATGTGCCGGAGATCCACCATCTGCATAAAATCGTGATATATTATTAGAAAAGTATCAGAAAAAAGAAAACATAGAGATCCCTTAACCAGCCGGGAAATACTCCCGAGGTATCGTCAGAGTAACTGAGATCAGCCGGCGTTGCGTGGGAGTCAGTATAAATAGGCCAGTCATGGTGTTTGAGATAGATTATTTCCCGTCATAGATTTGGTCCGGCAACAACGTGAATTCTCCCTTCTTCAACTCTTGCTCGTCGACGTGATCGGGCTTGATATATCGTGCTGTCAAGGCAAATCGCAGTTTCTTGTCGGGAACAACCGAATGCTAGACGGTCAGCAAAAGCAATATACAGAGCAATGGCACATACCTCGTAGTACTTTTGAAGGTTTTCACCATGCATCACGACCAAGTCGCCATGATTCAACGTCAGCTTGATAGTTGGAGACGCTTCTCCATTTCTGCTATGCTTGAGTAGGGCCGCTCGACGCAAGGTATCGTAGCCGTCCTTCGTAATTTCCCCGGTTTCGAATTGCTCCTTGAGTGTCCGTCGTTCACTCTCAAACTGGCAACCTTGCAAAACGGGGTCATCCTCGAGAAGCTTTCTGGCTTTACTAAAACCATGGTAGTGTTTGTACTTCATCCGAATGTACATAGTGGCCGTTGCGCCCAATGAAAGCGTAGAGATTGTAGGGCCGAGTGACGATTCCCCATCATCATGATACTGAACAAGTCAGCGACGTGCACTTTCCGGAGAGTCAAAGGACCTACACCGATTTTCATGTCCTCAAAGTAGCCCAACATGAGCAGCTCGTTTGGTAGAAAGTATGAATCGGCCGTGTCTACAACCGCTTTCTCGGTTGCCCAACTCAAACGGCCCAATGCTCGTAAGATCTCATCAGGTGCCTCACTAAAACCTTTAGAGTCCACGGAAACCACGTATTTATACGGCATTCCCTATTCAATCAGTGGCTATTTTAATAGCATACAGCATTTGCAACTCACAAAGTTAACAGCAAAGTGTGCAGTAAGCGTCCCAGGCACTCTAAAGCGTCAGCTCAATACCAATGTGAGAGCGAAGTGGACTCACCGACACTTTGCTGTAAAGGATATCGTCGCAGCCCTAGGTCAGAAGCCTGAAGCTGGTGGAATAGGTCGTTGGGTCCGTTTGTGCGATTGTTAATGGCCTTATTCGAGACAAAATGGGTGACAGACCCTACACCCGGTATACGATAAGTGAGCTTTCGATATGGGCGTAATGAAGAATCGTCGACTTCTGGAGTCATGAACTTGCGATCGAAGAAAAGGGCTCGTTTGATTGGGCCCAGCTCGAAATCATCTATAACTGAGCGTAAAGAGACAGGTTGAATATTCATCGTCTTCTCAAATGAGCAAGCATTGCAGTCTGGTCCAGTAGTAACATCATCTGTGCATTTCCAGCCTCTCCAGAATCTGCGTGATATGCACTTGGAGCATTGGGGACATACAATTCCTCTCCAAGCTATCCGTGAGGCGCTGGTATCACCTTCATGCTCGTTTATCGTAGCCAGCAGGTCGGGGACCAAACTGTAGTGTGGTTGTAAACTTAGGTCCGGGCCTGCCCGATAATTAAGGAGGTCCGGATGAAAGGTAAGACACACCGGGGGAACTGAGCCATCAATGGTCCAGAAGGATTTACAAGATGGTTGAAGGCACATCCAACCTTCGTTATATATGCGTGTGCTGAATTTGGAGCACTCCAAGCACTGCACCCTCTCAGGCTTGATGTTCACCCGTTGCTCAATGGGCGATGGTGGTGGGGAATCTTTTTCTGCCCACCAGCTTTTGTTCTCGAGGTCAATCTTTTCGAAGCGTACCTTTCCTCCAGCTTTTCCACCAACTCTCTCAAACCAGATATCCGTCACGCGAAAGTAGGCCATCACGTTGTATCGATGGGGAAGCTTTTTGCCTAGAAGAACGTTACGGTTCCCTACAACGTCAGCAGTCTCTACTTCGCTTGTGAAGATGTCTTACCTATAATTATACCGACCGGGACATTATGTTCCTTGCTATTTATAATGCTGGTTATGAAACAACTTTCGTCTTGGTCTTTGAGGAGAACCAAGTTTCCGTCTGCATCTTTGGTACATCCACCGCCACTAGTAGGGTTAGACGGAAGCTATAAGCCAAAGACGGTATACTTACACTCGAGTAATGATGACTTCCTCACCGATATAAGAACGTATGCCGCAATCAGCATCCACGAGAAAGCCCCAGCAAAAACCACCACTATGATATACCCCGCCTTGAACTGACCGAAACCAAGGAAGTGCATCACATAGCTCAGGTCTAGTCTGATGTTTATCAATTACCAATACCATGCTGAAGTAGGTCGGAGTGACCAACCTCAGCCCACGCTGGTGGCTCGCCATCAACTGGTGGCGCAGATTCAAGGTCGACAGCTATTTCTGCTGCTTGTATTCTGATGGGTGAATCTTTCACAGATTAGCACGTTTGTGTCCAATTATTATTTAGAGTGATTGACTGGCATACTAGGAGCGGCCTTTCGGGCTCTGGTTACACGACCACCCGCTTTAATAGGCCCAGATGGACCAGATGGACTGCGCGGCTTCCTGGCTGGCCTTGCCATATCTCTATAGCCGCTTTACGGAAGTAGTGGGTTAGAAGGGCTAGTAGATATGGCCTCTCTTCTGACGAAGCCTGGGAATATAAGAGACGAAACGAGCAGCAAAAGGTCGCTCAAGATGGCATCATTTCATGTGGATATATAGACTGTTCTCAGTCACGATTGATCAAGCAACGTGGATGAGAGGATAAAACAACAAGAGTACGATGATACAGGTGGCTTCAGGAAGTTGAGAAGGTGAGGGTCTCGTGACTGTTGATCACGTTCTCTAATCCGAAAAGGGAAAGCGAGCATTCAACCTTTGAATTGCACAATGCTTGTTGATAAGAGATACATAGTAGCTGGTACAATAAGATAGCTCGAGTTATTGCTAATATTACTTGATATTATTTTTCATTGTTGCTTGAGAGCATTGTTTGGTGCTCCAAGGTGCAAATATATATATCTACAAATGCGGCTGCAATGGATCACTTCTGGAACCGTTCGCGAACGGACGAACCATATGATCGAGTCTTCTACTACAGTCACTTAATACTCTGAGGATCCTTCTGGAACCTAAGAATCGCTGTTTGAGGAAATTTCTTCCACTAACTTACGCCTTTTGGATGATGATGCAATGCTTGTACTGTTTGCCATGTTTGCCAAAATGCATTGTCAGGCTTTGCGGGGTGACCGCCTTCCTTCTACGGACGCCGTACCTGTTGCAGGCGACGTTTCCCCCCTCTTTACCCGTAGTTATACTCCGGAGTATGCAATTAATGTAGAACATCATGCATACAGCAAACATCGCGTCGTGAAAGCATTGAGATAGTACATTAGTGCCGCAGAAAGACAAAGAAACCCTGCATAATTGAGTTGGCGCTTATGACGACTCAGCACCCAACTCCGAATCCTCGGGTAACCGAGTGGCGTTCTCCTGAGCTAAAAGAAACAAATCTCGGCCGTGTATGGGGACATTATGGGCCTCAGGGACATCCGCATCGGCTTTCCCTTGCTCCTTCTTCCATGGAACCCGTTCTCTACCCAAGAGACATATTACTTGTACGTAAGTATGTACAAGTACTTAAGGTTGTGTGGGGACGGTGGAGTGCAGGGACATTAACTCAAAAAACGCCCTCGGCTATTTCAGGCTTTTCCGCAATCCGCAGCCTGGCCGAGGGCTGTTTCGGGGGTCATCGTTTTGAAATGGCCGCGGAACTGATGGCGGGCCACTGGCAATGACAAGAGTACAGGCGCTTTTAAAATGGAGCCAGCAAATAACCCCCCCGTAACCGCGATTTCTTCCCGGCCATATAAAGACGATTCCCCGCATCGCATCTGCCGAAGATCCCCAACTTGCTTTTCTCCTCCTCATTTCTTCCTCTTCTCTTATGCTTCCTTCATCTTATTCTTCGAAACAATCTACATATATTTCAGTTGTTGATTTTGCCCAATTTTTCCATTAGCGCCGATACTTTATTTCGTACCTTTTAATCTCCGTCAATAAATCTCCGCACCGCCAATATGGTCTTTACACCTCCCGCTTGGGCCCCCAAGCTCCCTGAAGTCCCGGACAATATCCCAGTCAGCGAGCTCATGCTCAATGAATCCTATGGCCGGTATCCCCTGAACCAGGCCCGCGACCCTTTTACCTGCGGTTTCACAGGCAAGTCGTACTCCGCATCGCAGGTCGTGGACCGGGTCGAGCATTTGGCTCGGGGATTGGCGAAGGAGCTGGGCTGGAAGCCTAATGAGGGCTCGGAATGGGATAAGGTGTTGGGTATTTTCTGTTACAATACGGTATGTTTCTGCGACAATCCTGGAAAAAGAACCGAGCTAATCGTATTTTGCGACAGATCGATACCCTGCCTCTGTCCTGGGCTGTCCACCAGTTGGGTGGTCTGGTGACCCCCGCTAACGCCGTTTACTCGGGCCCTGAATTGAAGTACCAATTGCAGGATGCAAAGCCCAAGGCCCTGTTTACGTCTACTCCTCTCCTCTCCACAGCTCTCGAGGCTGCGTCGTTGGCCAATTTCCCGAAGGACAAGATCTACCTGATCGACTTGCCGCCACAGATGGGCCACTCAAAGGCGCCTTCTGGATACAAGACATTAGCTCAGATTGAGGAGGCGGGCAAATCTCTACCCAAGGTTGAGAAGTTGAATTGGAAGGCTGGAGAGGCTGCTCGTCGGACGGCTTTCCTTTGCTACTCTAGTGGTACTTCTGGTTTGCCTGTATGTCGCATGAAGCCATGGTCAAAAGGACAAAAACTGACAACTATAATAGAAAGGTGTTATGATTTCTCACCGGAATGTCATCGCCAACGTTATTCAACTCACGTCGTATGAGAAGAAATACCGCCAATCTATCACCCCCGCTGGGAAGCCGCTCTACACCGATGTTTCGCTTGGTCTTCTCCCTCAGAGCCACATTTATGCGCTGGTGGCGACTTGCCATACTGGCGCCTACCGTGGTGACCAGACTGTTGTGCTGCCCAAGTTTGAGATGAAGTCATACCTCGAATCTATCCAAAACTTCAAGATATCTTGTCTCTTTGTGGTATGTACGGTCCTAGATGCGACAAGAGAAGATGCTAATCCATTCGCAGGTTCCTCCAATCATCATCAATATGCTTCGGAACAAGGACCAGTGTGCCAAGTTTGACCTGAGCTCTGTTTCAAGCTTGTACACCGGGGCAGCACCACTGGGCCCGGAAACGGTTGATGAATACCTCAAGCTCTACCCCAGCGTGACTATCAAGCAAGCATACGGTCTCACAGAGACATCGACTGTTGTCTGCTCCACTCACCCCAAGGACTTCCTGGTGGGCTCATCTGGCTGCTTAATGCCCGGCGCGGAAGTTCGCATCTTGTCTCCCGAAGGCCAGGAAATCACATCCTATGATACACCTGGTGAATTGGTCGTCCGCAGCCCCAGTGTCGTCTTAGGCTATCTGAACAACGACAAGGCCACCAAGGAGACCTTCCGTGACGGATGGATGCACACTGGTGACGAAGCCGTCGTCCGCCAGAGCCCGGAGACCAAGTCCGAGCACATCTTCATTGTCGACCGCATAAAGGAGTTGATCAAGGTCAAGGTATGTACCTACCATCGGATCAATAATGAGGTAGAACAGCAACTAATCGTCTACAGGGCCTGCAAGTTGCCCCCGCCGAACTCGAAGCCCACATCCTCACCCACCCTGCCGTCGGCGACTGCGCCGTTGTCGCCATTCCCGACGACGCAGCAGGCGAAGTCCCCAAGGCCATCGTCGTCAAGTCTGCTGAAGCTGGTCCCGACGATGCAGCAACCACTCAGGCGATCAAGAAGCACGTCGAGGAGCACAAGGCTCGACACAAGTGGCTCAAGGGCGGTATCCGGTTCGTCGAAGCTATTCCCAAGAGTCCTAGTGGGAAGATTCTGCGGAGACTGCTTAGGGACCAGGAGAAGGAAGCTCTCAGGAGGAGCGGCCCTAAACTGTAGATTTCTTTGCTTCTGGTTTGCTGTTTCGAGATATACACTGGTTGTTTTCATGTGCACTTTTGACTTTGGCATGTGCCTTGTAGATAGTTTTATTGATTTGGATATAATTAGACGATTCAAGATATTTTCTACAGCATTTTGCGAGTAAAGTAGAAAAAGAGCAGTTGTACTGTTTATTTGGTGGCATGTTTGCAGTGTTTGCTCCGCGGGGAGAATGAATTTCTAAGCGGAGTATTGATTTTTTCTATAGCCTCTCACTCACTTACATCTTGTGTATTATCTCTATTATTTCTGTTTGTATATATTTAGGAACAGGAAATCTCAGAAAACAGAGCCAAACACAAATAACCAAAACCACACCCCCTACACCCAATTTAGCATTACCCTCAAAAAAGTTTCATCATGTCCGTCAACGACCACCACGAAGAAGAAGACGCCTACCTCCAAGCCGAAGACGCCGAAGAAATCGTCGAACGCGATGAAGACCACCCTATGGAGTCCGACGATGAAGGCGAAGACCAAGACAACGAAGGCGACCAAAATATGGACTTCGAGCCTCAAGAAATCGTCCTCCAAAACGATTCCCTCGCGCACTTCGACCACCACAAAGACTCCCTCTTCTGCATCGCCCAGCACCCAGTCCACAATAACATCGTGATTACGGGTTCGGGTGATGATAGTGCGTTTATTTTTGATTCTACGCCGACGCAGGAACGGCCCGTGCTACCTGCGAGTTATGAGTCTGATCCGCAGCCGCGTGCGGAGAGGAAAGGTCTTGAACCGCTTGCGAAGCTAGACGGGCATAGTGATACAGTGAATGCGGTTGCGTTTACGGAGCCGAAGGGCGAGTATGTGGTTACGGCGGGGTTGGACGGGAAACTGCGTGCGTGGCGGGATAGTTCTGCGGGTAGAAGTGGGACGGGGTGGGAGTTTGTTGCGGAAGCGCAGGAGGTAGAGGAGATTAACTGGGTTGCTGTGTGTCCCTGTGAGGAGGGGGATGAGGAGAAGAAGAATGTTGTTGCGTTTGGAGCGAATGATGGGAGTGTGTGGGTGTTTAGGGTTGATGTTGAGGATGCGGCGCAGCCGGTTGCAATTGTGCAGTCATTTTTCATGCATACCATGGCTTGTACAGCTGGTGCTTGGACGCCGGATGGGAAGCTTTTGGCGACAGTTTCGGAGGATGGGACGTTTTATGTGTATGATGTGTTTGGGGCTGCGGCTGCGGTTGGGATTTCGTACTCGCCTGGTAGCAGTGCGGTTGTTGGGTTGACACCTGAGGACCAGCGATTTGCTGTTGACGGGGGGTTGTACTCTGTTGCTGTTGCGCCGTCTGGTGCGTTTGCAGCTGTTGGTGGTGCTGAAGGTCATATCAAGGTCGTTGGTCTTCCGCGTCTCCCGTCATCTCCTGCTGCTGCGTCGTCGTCCAAGGCCAAGACCAAAGCTTCCACTCCGCAGTCCTCGACCGGTGCTTCCGCGGCAGGCACTCTCCTCGCCTCTCTGCAAGCCCAGACAGACGGTATCGAAACCCTCTCCTTCTCCTCCCCGCCACTGAACTTCCTCGCCGCGGGCTCCGTCGACGGAACCATCGCCCTCTTCGACACAGCCCACCGCTTCGCCGTCCGTCGCCACATCAAAGAAGCTCACGAGGCCACCGCCGTCGTCAAGGTTGAGTTTCTGCAGAGCCGGACACCCGGTTCCGCCCAGGCCACGGGCCAACCGCTCGGCCGTCCTTCGCCGCTTGTATCTGCTGCAACGGGCCAGTCGCGTTCGTGGCTGCTTACGACTGTTGGGCTGGACGGTGTTGTGAGACGGTGGGATGCGCGCGGTGGTACTGCCGCTGCTGGACAGGGGTTGTTGAATGAGTGGAAGGGTCATGCTGGCTTGATGGAGAATACGGAGGGAGAGCAGAGTGGGGGAATTATGGGCTTTGTGCAGGGGGGTGATGGGAAGAGGATTGTTACTGCTGGGGATGATGGGGTTGCATTGATTTTTGAAGAATAAACAGTTATGCTGAGTTTATATTATTATTTGTTATAGATGTGATGGACCAACCATATGCGAATGAATTATGCTTACACTTATGTTATCGCTACGAGTATCTCGGCCATACACTAGGCTGTAGTAAATTGAAAAAAAAAAAAAAAAAAAAAAAAAAAAAAAAAAAAATTCATGCAAACATAATACACTATATACACCCGACAAATCAATCACCCAAGCGCCGTCTGTAGCGGATAAGCCTCTCTACCCTGGAGTCCAGACAAGATGTGCAGTCCACACCATCCCGGGCTGAGTCCACGAGAGATTATCATTCAATCTAGGGTATTAATCTCCTCCACATGTCGGTCAATCTAATCTAGCCCATCCGGTTCCGGTTTGTTTTGTATTCCGTTCTACACCTCAACTTTTCGGTGCTGCATCTAGTGGTGGCCCTCCCCATGATGATGCTCATCCTTCAAAAAGAAATGCTCATAAGCACAGTATCCCGCAAACGCAACGCTCGCAATCCCAAATCCCGGGAAAAGCCCCTTGAAGCGGTTGAATCGGCTGAACGGGCCGGTGTATCTCCAGATTTCGCTGTATTTGTTAGCATTAGCTTGTATTTAGACTGTCTTCGGATGATTTGGGGTTGGAGCATGGGAGGGATTAAAGCTGTGGAAACGAGGAGCAGGGGAAGGGACGTACTTGCGAGCCCAGGGGTCTCTTTTGGCGTAGACGGAGCGGGGGGAGGCGGCGCGCTTGAATTCGCTGATGTCGAAGCCGGTGGGGTTGGCCATGGTTGCGGTGTGGGTGCGGTAGTTTGTGTTGTGTTAAGAGATAGGTGAGAGAAGAAGGACAGAAACTGCGATCCTCACGCGTTCCGGCAGCAATTGCGACAATAGAGGTATACAGGATCCTAGGAATAAACGGCGAAGTGAAGCTACGGAAGTTGAGTGAGAACGGGCTTGGCGCGCTAAACCTGATACAGCGAATATAGGCTTGTCCGCCTTTTGGTGCCGGAACCTCGTCTCTTCCCACAAGCTGTCTGGCTAATTTGTATCTCTACGAGATCGCGACCCCTTCTATCTATTAATCAGATGTTCGAACTGATCACACAACACACCACAACATCACAACCATGCCCCCTCCCGTCGGCAGATACGGGCCCTCAGGCCTAAGCGCCCCCTACGCCCAACAACTCCAACAAGCCCATCTCCAGCACCAGCAGCAACAACAGCAACAACAACAACAGCAGCAGCAGCAATCTCAACATCACCCCGCAGCTCACCCCCCGTCCGCCAACTCCGCTCTCCCCCCTCCCTCTCTAGGCGGTCACCCGGGCTTCGCAGCGGCAAACCCAAACACCAACATCAACCCGTTCACTCTGTCCGGCGCCGCGGGCATCACAAACGGCATGTCTGTCGGTGGATTTGCGGGTGCGGCGGCGGCCGCTGCAGTGGGTGGAGCTGGAGCTGGTGGTGATGGTGGGGGGACTGGGTTGGCTAGCCATGCGGCGCAGATGGGGTTTGCGAGGGGGGCGCAGATGCAGCAGCAGCAGTTACATCAGGGGCATGATGGGCGGTTGGCATTGGAAAATAAGGCTGGGGCGGCGGTTAAGACGCGGATACGGGATGTGTGGAAGCATAATTTGGCGCAGGAGATGGCTGTGCTGAGGCATTTGGTTGAGAAGTATCCGTACATTAGTATGGTAGGTTGTCGGTGACTGCGACTATGTGTACGGCGATTTCGATATTGATTTGATGGTGATTGCAGGATACTGAGTTCCCCGGAATCGTCGCTCGTCCTATCGGTGCCTTTACGAACAAAGCGGACTACCACTACCAGACCCTTCGATGTAACGTCGATTTGTTAAAGATGATCCAGCTGGGTATCACGCTTTTCTCCGCGGAGGGTGAGGTTCCTCCGCCCAACGCGACAGATCCCAATGGACATCCGTATGGGAACAACTTGGTGCCTGCTCCGTGCACGTGGCAATTCAACTTTAAGTTCTCATTGGAGGATGATATGTACGCACAGGAGTCGACGGCCATGCTCGCCAAGGCTGGCATCGACTTTGCCACACACGACAAGAACGGGATTGATCCTTTCGAGTTCGGAGCATTGCTTATCAGCTCGGGTCTGGTTTTGCTGGAGGACGCCCACTGGATCTCGTTCCATTCCGGTTACGACTTTGGCTACCTGATGAAGATTATGCTTTGCAACCCCCTTCCGGACAAGGAGGAGGATTTCCACAAACTCCTTAACATATTCTTCCCCTCGTTGTACGACATTAAATACCTAATGAAGCACGCCGGTCGCAATCAAGCCGTAAACGACACGCCTTTAACACCCGTTGCCGCTCAGATCCTTACGAACCTCGGCCAGAAGTCCGGCCTCCAAGATATTGCCGATGAACTGGGTGTTAAACGGGTTGGCATCGCCCACCAGGCCGGGTCGGATTCTCTCGTCACCGGAGAAATTTACTGGAAGATGCGCCAGATCGTCTTCAATGGTAGCATTGACGAGAACAAGTACTCAGGCCAGATCTGGGGTCTGAACGGCCAGATGCCTGCGTTTACGTACCACATGGGACCTCACCAAACGCCAAACCTAAACGGAGCCACCATCTACACAGCCACCGGGACGCCTAGCACACCTAATGCGCACACACCTCAGCACCATAGTCTCGGTATGGGTGCCTTGACTCCAGGGGGTGGACTCATGGGAGCTTTCCAAGCGGCCAAGTCGTAGGCAAGCATTGTTCACGTATTCTGGGTTTGGATCCGGTGGGAGGAGTTAATGTTTCTTTTCTTCCTTTGTTCTCCAATTATTTTCATCCTGTCTCCTTTTGGGGTGATTGTCGTCATTTGATCTTCTGTTAGCCACGATGACTGGTTGGGAAACGTGGAATCCATACGATCTGATGCATGTACATAGCGCGGCACATTGTGCTGATCTTGTCATTTCCTTTCTGCATTTTTGTTACCGTTCCGTGTCTCGGTATCTGGTTCGTCCCTTCGTCCATGGGGCCATGGGGTCATGCCATTGGCTTGCCTTGGACAGGTAGGTGTTCATGGAGGGGGTGTACGGTGTTAGTTCTTAGGGCTGGCAATGAATTGTTTCTACTGTTGAATGTTGATAGGTATGCACGGAGTATTATCGGTCGTACGCAGGCGGTTTATTATTATCATGATACGACTATCCCCGCTCGGGTTGAATCTAGATAATATTTCCTAGTGGGCAGTGAGACCATCGGGCTATTCAACCCGGCAGCACTGTCATATACCCCGGTATGCAGTACAAAGTCCAGTTACCGTATTGGAACATGTGATGCGACACGCACGCTATACCCGATATGGAGAAGCGATCCGGGTATTATCTACTATCACTGATATGCCTGTATGTACATCCAGCCATGGATGAGGAGGGGAGGGGTAAATATAAATACCCCATTGTCCAATATGCGACTTCGGCATCTTCTCTTCCATTGTCACATACTAGAAAAAGAAAACAGACACAATGGTTCTCGACCGCATCCAACAACTCGCCCACCAAGTCACCGCGACAACCCCCGTTCCACACCCCTTCGACCCCCTCAGCACCACCGAAATCGATACTGCAGTCTCCGTCATCCGGTCTGAGCATGGCAACCTCAATTTCAACGCCGTCAGCCTCTACGAGCCCCGCAAGGCCGACATGATGGCCTGGCTCGAGACACCCTCCACAGCGGCTCGACCAATGCGAGCAGCTGACGTCGTTGCTATTGATGGCAGTGGGAAGGTGTATGATGGGGTTGTGGACTTGGGGGAGAAGAGGCTTGTGAGCTGGGTTAATACAAAGGGTGTGCAGCCGTTGATTACGATGGAGGATTTGCAGGAGGTGGAGCATATTGCAAGAAAGGATGAGAAGGTTATTGAGCAGTGTGGGATACTTGGAATCCCGAGGGAGGATATGGGGAAAGTCTATTGTGATCGTGAGTTTATTTTCTTCTCCAAGGGGGGTTAGGATTCTAATTGAATGTAGCGTGGACGATTGGATACGATGAGCGTTTCGGGACCGGGATCCGACTGCAGCAGGCGTTGATGTACTACCGGCCTAGCGTCGATGAGTCGCAATATACGTACCCGCTTGACTTTTGTCCAATCTACAATGCCCAGACAAAGGAGATCATTCACATTGATATCCCGTCTGTCCGACGACCGCTGAGCAAGGCCCCTCCGAACAGTTACCATCCCGAGGCCATCGAACAGGAAGGTGGTTTCCGGAAAGACTTGAAGCCAATCCACATCACGCAGCCCGAGGGTGTCTCTTTCACAATCAACAATCGAATTATCGATTGGCAAAACTGGAACATTCACGTTGGCTTCAACTATCGCGAAGGCATCGTGCTCAACAACATCACGTTCAACGACAAGGGGACTGTCCGTCCAGTGTTCTACCGTCTGTCTCTCGCGGAAATGGTTGTTCCATACGGAAACCCGGAACATCCTCACCAACGGAAGCATGCGTTTGATCTTGGAGAGTATGGCGGCGGATATATGACCAACAGTCTCTCCCTAGGCTGCGATTGCAAGGGCGCGATCCACTACATGGATGCGGCGTTTGTGAATAAAGCCGGTGCAAGCACGGTTATCAAGAATGCCATTTGCATCCACGAAGAAGACGCTGGTATCCTCTTCAAGCATACCGATTTCCGTGATGAGTCGATGGTTGTCACCCGTGGACGAAAGTTGATTATCTCGCATATCTTCACGGCTGCGAACTACGAGTACTGCGTGTACTGGATTTTCCACCAGGATGGCACTGTACAGCTTGATATTAAGCTGACTGGCATTCTGAATACGTACTCACTGAACCCAGGCGAGAACACAAACGGCTGGGGAACAGAGGTGTACCCCGGTGTCAATGCGCACAATCACCAGCACCTCTTCTGTCTGCGTGTGGATCCCAACATTGACGGACCGAATAACACAGTGTTTCAGGTCGATGCAACGCGGGGTCCTGGTGAAGTTGGCAGCGCAGAGAACAAATACGGCAATGCTTTCTTTGCAAAGAAGACAAAGTATACAACGCCGCGCGAGGCAATGTCGGATTATGACGGTAATACCGGACGCACGTGGGAAATTGCCAATACGAACAAGTTGAACGAGTACAGCAAGAAACCCGTGTGCTATAAGCTGGTTAGCCGCGAGGTTCCGCCGTTCCTCCCCAAGCCGGGTGGTGTGGCTTGGAAGAGAGCTGGATTCGCCAGACATGCCGTGCACGTCACTAAATGTAAGTCCTCCCCTCCCAAAAACAAGAAAATTCTTACTAACAAGTACACACAGACAACGACGAACAACTCTACCCTGCCGGTCGGCACGTCCCCCAAACCTCTGGCGACCCCTCCGCTGGCCTCCCCGCCTGGATCGAAGAAGCCGAAACCACATCCGGCCCCAGCAACTCAATCGACAATACCGATATTGTCCTCTGGCACACCTTCGGCCTTACTCACTTCCCATCGCCTGAAGATTTCCCGATCATGCCCGCCGAGCCGATGACCGTATTACTCAGACCGAGAAACTTCTTCACGAAGAATCCGGCGTTGGATGTACCGCCTAGTTTTGTAAGGACGCCATCGCAGGCTGCGAAGGGGATTGAGGGTTGTGGCTGTGCAGGGAAAAAGGGGAGTGATGGAAGTAGTGTGTTGGTTTAGGGGCTTTGGGCTGGAGGATTTATTATCGGTCCTATGTGTTACTTCTTTGTTGCTTTTCTTCTCGACGACTTACGCATTACGCATCCTTAAAGTGATTCATCTGCTTTGGAATGGTGTGGCGGAGTATTACTTTGTTTGATGTGGAATTCTGGGTAGCCCTAAAAGCATACAGAATATGGAATAGTGACTGCAACCCCTCACCTCTCTTTCATGATCAATCATCCTTTTTCTTACTTACTTGACTCTTATTCCCCCTATTTTCTTCTTTGGGCACTTAAACATCTCCGTCTTTCCATACGCTATACATATTTTCCCTCCAAGCGACTCATATAGTCCCGATATCACAGACGCAATTATAATGTTCCCTATACTCGCGTGATATGTACTAGGGCCAAGTCTCTTCTATGACTTTCACGTCCCAAATACGCACCTCTTATTATAAAACCGCCAATCTTTATAATCATCGGCTCTTGAGATACAAAAGAAGCCGAGGTTTTGTGTATCAGACTGCAGATTTTACTGACTAGGTCTAGAAATACGAGGGAGATTGAGTGGAGTGGCCCGCGACATGCTTTCCTGGCCTTGTGCCTGGATATAAATTGTGGGAACACTTTCCTTGACTGGAAATAAATGCTGGGTCTTGGGAATTACCTGTGGATGATGGTAGGTTCAGTGTCTCGCTTGTCTAACTACGATGTATTCTGAAAAGGAGTGGATATTGCTATTACTCATTGATATTCGATAGAGCTATTCGGTCTTCAAAGGCACGGGAGCGGCCTCTTATTCGATCCAAATATGTCAACACTTGTAGCAGATTGTCTTTCCCGTTTGCTCCAATAAATCGACATTAAAAGCTGTCTATCCCGGGAGAGATCGTCAAGTTATTGGTCGTTTCGGAGGGCTCCTTGTTCCTTGTTCCGAAATAGTCATCATGTTTGGCTCTCGGGGGAGCAAGTGTACACATGAAGGCATTCTCGGCAGTGGAGCCTTGTATGTTCCGACAAAATTCGCTGGTTTACTATACCCCTATGATACATCGACATGACAATCCACCTGACACCCGAACCCATGTTAATCCAATTAAGCGAAACGGTCCGTATAGCAGCGCGAGCGCTTCCACAACCCGTTTTGAAAGGCTGTTAGAAGCATTACTTGTTTGATTTGTATCGTGCTGAAAGGTTGATGTTTTCGAATTGAATTCTGGCCGCTTGTTGTTAAAGTCCCCGATTTCCGTATTGACGTACTACCTAAGTCCTCCAAAGTTTCCTACAGCTTTTAGCTGAAGAACGAAGAATCTACAGATTTGTCTCAGTAGAATATGCAGGTCGTGACATAAAATGACCTACAACCTGATGAACAAGTTCGCCGCCGTGTATAGGACTGTGATCACTCTTCGCCACATCCAGCGCATAATGGCCGTTGTGGTGTTTTTTTCCCCTAAATTATGGACACCTATGAGCTTTTGGAATGTATTGACAGAAGAATCTAGCTCATGAAAGGCGGCCCATGATTGGGCTTAGCCGTATATATTGGACGCCATTAAATGGGCTCCTATATAATCTTAATGGGCCGTATCCTGTGACTGCCGCTCCAGGTCTACTAGCATATACCACCACGGCGTTCTAGTTTTGAAACCGTCCGTCTTGCTGGGATTTGAGACTTCATGGTATGGCTTCGCTGCTTGAGATGGAGGTGAGTTAACGCGGTGATCAGGATATTGCGATTGGGTTTTCGTTTCTGGGATATGGTAGTTTTTTTTGTGCAACTCTTACTTCTTATACCAATATCGTCCTCAAGTTGGGCTGTTTAGAGGCATGGTGATACTATTTGCAAAAGATGAGAGTGCATGGATTGGTGGTTACACTGTCTTTACGAATAGCCTGACCCTGTTGAGAGCACTGCCTTCGGTACCAGGTCTGGCCGTGTAAGGTAGGCCCGGTAATCCAGCTCCCGCCTTGACCCCTGTGTAAGATGGTGCATCCAGGGCCCTGCCTGGTTCCTACAGTGGAGGAGAACATGGTGTGTATCTTGGAGGCCACGTCCACAAGAACATTCAGTCGATACCATAGCCTTAACGGTATCAAGATAACTGGCCAGCGCAATCTTCCCAGTTTGCATTTGAATGACAAGGTGGACGATATAATTATTTAACTAGACTGTCAATAAATTGGAACGATTTCAGGGAAGAATTGATAATTTCCATCACAGTCTTGCGGACAGCCTTATGATTCAATGCATGGCACGGCATTCCAAGCAAAGGAAGTCATGAAACGTGGCGCAGCCTCTCCCCACCCATTACCTTGCAAAACCCTAACATATGGTACTGCGGCGACTTGAAAGACCTCTGGCCTACAACAAGTAGTCCATGATATTGAATCGGCAACAATATTGTTTTAGTTAAAGTATCTGGCAGGTTTCGAGTATGCAATTAGAATAGGAAACACTCTAGCCCAGTTGAACAATCAATCGATCAATAGCATACCAATGTGGTATTATTTACAGATCGTGACTACCACATTCTACTGACTAAATGCAGGACTGAATATACAAATTAGTAACAAGTTGATTTCTAATCTCTCCGACCCGTCCAAAGTTCGACCGGACTATGGTATAAATGACGTTTATAATCCTATTAACAATTACAAGAAAGGCTAGTAAGATCTCGATAAATATCATTTTCAGCGCCTCAACAACATGTCTAATCACACAGTTGTAGTCTTTCCCGCTTCCGGAGGCATTGGCGGCAGCACAGTCAAACATCTTCTCCCGCGAATTTCGCCACAGGATCTTGTATTCATCGCACGGCATCCTGAGAAGTTAGAGTTTGTATCTACTGCAGGTGTGACTGTTTGCGGGGCCGATTATGATAATGACAGTGACCTTGAGCGCGCGTTTGATGGTGTACATACCCTAATTCTGATTTCATACGCGTCCGTAGAACATGAGCATCGGGCTAAAGTATGCCATCCATTTACCTTCAGGTGTATTCATGAGCAGCAGCTGAAAATTTGATAAAAAGCGCCAACAATTCGCAATCAACGCAGCCCTTCGCAGCGGAGTCAAGTACATCTTCTATGGCTCTTTGGGATACGGTGGTAACCCCGCGAGCAACCAATCCATGGCACATGTCATGCAACCCCATCTAGATACAGAACGATAATTACAGGAATGTGTCAGCCGAAACTCCGGCTTCGACTATACTGTTATCCGGGAGGGCCTTTACTCCGAGTCATACCCACTCTACACGTCTTCCTTTGACAACCCGGTGGGTGAGATCCTCATTCCCCACAATGGCCTTGGACCAGGAATTGCCTGGGTAAAACGTGAGGAGCTGGGTGAGGGCACTGCAGAGCTGCTGTCGCGATTTATCAAGGATCCTAGTAGTTTCGGGTACCGTCGGAAGATCGTTCTGCTTTCTGGATCCAAGACGCTCAGTTTGAAGGGAACCGTCGAGATTCTGAGTAAGCTAGCGCAGCGGCCAGTCCACATTCTTCCCGTATCAGTTGAAGAGTTCGCTGCGCAGCCGCAGAACTTTGCGAACTTTACTTATCGCGGAGTTGACCATTCGACGGCGTGGACGAGCACTTTTGAGGCTTTTCGACGAGGAGAGGGAGCTTATGTGTCTCCTTTGCTCGGGGAGCTTATCAAGCACACTCTGTTGCTTTTCATGTACTTCATTGTCTAAAAGACGCCGTATACTCCGTGCAGAAGGGAGGTGTAGGCCAGATTTCACAAGCTTAGTGTACTCAAGAAGATCTTTGAATTCTGGGTGCTCAATGATTCGGAATGGGAGATGGGATGTAGTAATGAACTTTAGGATCTTCTTCTGTAAGACAAGATGGTTGAATTCCTCGCTTTGGGGCACACGTGGCTAGGCAGAGAGTAAGGAGATTAGTATATTAGAGCAGAATATATAAGTAAAGGCTTACCAAGTCTCGTAATAATTGGTCTATACCCCGCCTCTTACTCTTTGAGGTTTGTGGCTTAATACAGACAGCACTAGCAAGATGGGTCTTCATTGGAGAACAACCTGCACGGCGATGTGCTGGGTGGATAATCACATTTTGACAGCACTTGCACATAACCTTTGGCTCACCAGTCTTTGCATGTGCAACCTGATCAAATGATGACCAAACATCAGACTTTTTGAGGTTGCTATCCCATCGAATAGACCTCTGTATATCTTGCTTTTGGCCATACTCTGTCTTCAACCACCATTCCACAAATTCTCTTCTGGATTCGCCCATCTTCGGATTGGTTGAATCACTATTATAGAGAATATAGTGCTGTTGAAGGGGCTTGCCAACATGCTCTAGTGAGTCCAGTGCATGATGATACCAAGGGGGGATAGGAAAGTCTGAAAAGCAAGTTGAGGATGGTGTCTCACTACCAAGCGCGTCAGTGAAATCATCAGATTGAAGTAGTTCTGGATCAATGAAGGAATCCGCATAGTGGGATGCCTCATATTGACTACCAGATGCTTGCGATTGCGACATGATTAATGAAGAATAAGAAAGCAAGGCAGTAATGACTGTAGATTTAGAGTGAGACTCACAAATATCAGAACTGAAAATATCAGAGATATAGGCAAATGGAGCCATGAACACGACTTTGATGTGTTGGATAATAATACCAGACACTAATTGGGTATTTTCGGGCAGAAGTGGATATTTAGTGGATAGTCCATTGGATATCTGTTGGATATCCAACAGATATCAGCAAAATCCGTCAATCATGAAAATTAAATGAACACCATAGACTGCGGCAAAACCGCACTTGCGGTTACTACTTTGCTAACCGCAGCCGTAATTTGCGGCTGCGGTTATCAAGTTTCCTAACCATAGCCAAACCCGTAATTTGCAGATTTGGCTATGGTTAGCCATGGTTAGCCGCAGGATAACCGCACTAGCATAAATATCGCTTATTTGTCCTATTCGGGACCATTATTTCATAATTATATCGCTGACATACACCCATGTTTAGTTTCAGTATATACATGTTCTGGTTATGACAGTACTCTTCTACACTTTTACCTACTTCCTATATGAAATAATAAGAAATACCAATGTATTTATATATAAGTAGCATGACTTTAATATGCTAAAGCTATATCATCAGGCTACTAGATGGTGGTAACCTGTAATTCAAGGTCGTTATTGACATTGTGGTGCTATATCAGAGATATATATTTCACATGTGAAGAAGCCAGTGTATATTCTAAGGGAGCTTGAGGTAGTATGCTATTTTACCAAGTCCTCTAGGTGGTTACTTTGTGGTTACCTTGCAGTTACCTTGTGGTTACCTTGCAGTTAACCGCGGTTACTTTGCGGTTAGCCTCTAAACCCCGCAAACTAACCACACTAATATCACTAGGTATCCAATCAAGGTAGAGTATAGTCTTTACACACATCAGAACATTGTCGTAACTGTTTGCCTTTTTTTATAACAGAAGAAATAAGAGGACATTTCTGTAAGTCTCCATCTCTAAGCCTTAGACCAAGGCCTCTATATCAATTCAAGTTTCTAATCTGAAATTGCCCAAGATGTCTCAATCCCAAGCATCCTTCTATGCTGAATCTTTTATCAATCCTGATATCCTTCAATCAGACGACCTCCCTGATATACCAAGTAGCCAACCAACTGTGACCTCATTCTCTACCTCCCAATTCACCCAGCCTGTGACAGCCTGGTCACGTTGGCTGGTTATCACGTGAGATGCAGTTGTTTGCTTTGTTGATAAATACGGCGTCACCCCCTTTCTTCCTTCCTCATGTTGATTATTCTCGTCGATAGCTACCTAGGTAGAACCCATGAGTTGGATCTTCGATTATCCTAGTAGAGCGCCGTGACATAGCCTCCACAAATATCTCTGGCCCCTACATGTCTTACGCGGGTCGGGCCTCACTTCCGAAAGTTCTGGATCCTCTATAATTCCAGTCCTAACATGGAGCAGTCTCGGAATCAATTTGTCCAATGGTGGTTAACAACTGGGTTTGGGTTAGACCCTCAATATCGGGATGGAATACATTGGGAAAAGAAGAAAAAGTCAGATGTCTGGGAGCACTTTGAACAGATTGCACATGAGAGGACTGGTGAGCCAAAGCTTATGTGTAAATACTGTTCTACAGTGCTTGCCCATCCAAGCCACAAGCGCGCAGGGACCTCTGCACTGAAAACACATCTAAAAGGGAATACTTGTCGTGTAGATAAAGAGAAACAAGGGCCATTCATTGATCAGATGATACAGGACACAGTAAGTTTGAAACATTCTATCCCAGATATTATTAATATTAATCCAATTCAGCTGTATATGCCAGCCAGGAAGGGCTTTAGCCAGGAGCTTTTACAGGACAAAATCCTAAATTATATTACAACTGCCCGTCTCCCGTTCCGCACTGTTGAACATCCAGAATTTAAAGAACTTCTTCAGGTTGCCCAACTCTCTGAGTCAAAGCTTGATATCCCTTCTGCACGGACAATACGGCGCTGTCTAGATACCAGTGTTCATAAGCAGCAACAACATGTGCTTAGCAAGCTTCCTGAAGGAAGATGTCTCTCAATTGCACTTGACTGCTGGACATCTTCATTTAGCCAGGCATTCATGGCAATTACAGGCTACTTCATTGATGGAGATTGGAACTACTGTGAAGTTCTCCTTGGGTTTGAGCATCTCCATGGAGCACATACTGGCAGCTACCTGAGTGAGACTGTTATTGAGGTTCTCCAGAGGCATGGCATTGCCAACCGGGTTTTATCAATCACTACAGATAATGCGACAAATAACAACACTATGATAGCAAGCATCCAAGACACAATACAGTCACTGGCTCTAAGTGATGCTTCTATTTTTCGGGTTCCCTGCATTTCGCATGTGATTCAACTTTGTCTGAATGAACTCCTTGGAAAATTGAAGGCAGTCCCAGATAATAAAGAGGCAGAATCAGAGTGGTCTGATGAGTGGATCCAGTCATCACAGTCAAGGCGCCCTACCAGACAGGTTATTGATACTTTAAAGAAGGTCAGTATCTTATTCTTCAGTCCTATATGATACTAACTGGTATTATCTTAAGGTTCGAGGCCTTGCTGTCTTCATTAATGCTAGCCCACAGCGTCATGAAGCTTTCCTTGCTCTACAAATCAAAGAGCCTAAGCTTATTCCTATTCAAGATGTTTGCACATGCTGGAATTCCACCTTCTTAATGCTTAATCGTGCCAAGAAACTACAGCCAGTCTTAGATAAGTACTGTATGACACATTCATATATGCAGTTCAAGCTTGATCAAGAAGAGTGGCGCCAGGTTGAGTATCTTCTTTTACTCACAAAGCCATTCTTTGATTTTACCAATGTTTTATCAAAGACCAGAGATGTGACAGTTCATCATGTTTTCAGTATCTATAACCAGCTCTTTAACCACCTCGACGATGCTGAAAGCAAACTCAAACAAAAGACTGTCCCTTGGAAAAAGAGAATGCTTCAGGCACTTGGAGCAGCAAAGAACAAGCTCAGCAAGTACTATACTGCAACAGACTCTGAATCATATGGTACAATCTATGCTCTTGCAACTATTCTCTATCCATCAAAGAAACTCCGATACTTTGATAATGCAGATTGGAGAGGTGAAAATATTGACTGGATGAAGCATTACCAGAACCTTCTTCAAACAGAGTTTATACGATATGAACAGGAGGTTATCCCAGTAAACAAATCCATCAATACTCAAGCATCTATGGATCCTGCTGAAGATGAAGAGCTTGCAATATTATGTGACTCCCAGACTCCTTTACAAGCTGAAGTAGATCAACCAGAAGATGAGATAACATGATATCTAGCAAAGGGTTTGTGTTCCTTATACTCTTCTTAAGCTTTTGGTTTGACTGACCAGTTTTGTAGGACTCACAAAAGGTAACCCTCGGGTCTACTGGAAGGAGCATGAAGATGAGTTCCCAGTACTTGCAAGGATGGCACAGGATATTCTCTCAATCCCTGCAAGTGGTGCTGGTGTTGAGCGGCTCTTTAATTGTGCTCGTGATATCTGCCACTATCGTCAGGGACAACTGAAACCAGAGACAATCAAAGACCTGATGCTCCATTTATTCTCATCAAAATTTGAGCTCGAGCAAAGCCAACTAGAGATGATTAAGGAGTATCTCTCTGCTGGGGAGGCTGCAATGCTTGATCAAACAAGAACACCTTTCCTATTACCTGACAATCTTGAACCGATTAGTGATAATGAAGAAGAAGGCTGGCAGCAGGAGTATATGACAGATCATGATTCAGAGGGTGGATCAGAGGATAGATCAAAGGATGAGGCTGATGAGCTCACTTCCATGCAAGCAGTAACCCAAGGCAGGCAAGCAGAGCGAAGGCAGTCTCAAAAGAGAACATCTGAGGCTCTTGATGATGCTGATCATGGTCTCCCACTTCCTGAAATACCAACTGAAGAGGGTACACAGGCGCGGTCAGGGCGGATTCGGAAGAAACCAAGAATGCCAGCTGGATTTGAGATAGAC